CTGCCATGAGGGACACCTGACTACAGAGCCAGGAGTAAGTCATGCAGTCAAAAACAAAATAAAAATGAGGAGGAAATCTCAATAATTAAATTGAGACACATTTGATTTGTTAAATAGAATGCTGTCAAAAACTATTCTTACCCTTTTGAATGTGGCCAATAGTAAGATTTAAATTACATGTTTGGCTTATATTTCTCTTGAATAGCATTGGTCTAGTAGTAGTTAGCAATTCTCAATTGTGTATTTTGAGTTTTTTCAAAAAAGTGATCTTCTGGGAATATCATCTTTCTCAGCTTCTATGCAAAACAGTATGAAGATTCCTTAAAAAACACACGAATAGAACTCCCATATGACCCAATGAGATTTCACTTCTTGGCATCTATCCACAAAACACAAAAACATTCATTTGAAAAGATCTATGTACACATATGTTCATTTCATCAATTAGAACAATGGCCAGGACATAGAAACAACCCAAATGTTGGACATACAAATGTATAAGAAGCTGTGTTATAAATACACAATGGATTACTATGAGACTACAAGATGAAATTTTCCAATTCACTACAATGTGGATGGAACTGGAAGGTAATATTCAAAGTGAAGTTAGTCAGACAGAGGACAAATACCAGAAAATCCTACTTGTCTGTGGACTAGAGACCAAACAAAAGAGTAGATAGTACTAAATGATGATAAACCCTTGGTCTTGGTTACAAAACTCAGACTACCTAGCAGTATAGGGAGAGTACATGGCAGAAAGAAGAATGTAGACTAGGAATCACATAGGTAGGGACGGTGATGGTGGTCTAGGACACTTTGGTGGTGGTGGGGGTACAGTAATTTTAGACCTCAATACCATGGACTTTAACACTACTGTAATTATGCTACCTAAACTACAAATAAAAAGTTAAATTATAAAAGGGAAGCAAAGCAAAGTGACTTCCTGAAGCCAGGGATGAAATTCAAGGAGAAGAGCACATACCTAGTGTGAACGAGGCAAAGGTTTCATTCTTAGCATCTCATCCCCCCATACCTCCCACCACATCCTTTCAGGTATGAACCACAACAATAGTAAAATTCTTAAAAATTGGTCTCTTGGACTATTCAAATTGAATCAGAATCTTGGGAGTGAGAACCCCAACATGTGTTTTCAGAATACTTCCTAGGCAATTCAGAGAATTATTAATCTAGAGTCTATTTTCCAAAATGGACAGTATCGGTTCAAAGAGGCTCTGGAGTAATGGTGGACAGCAGAAGCCTCAGGTGCTACTGGTGTGTGCATTGGGGGGGGGGGGGGGGGGGGGCGCCGGAGGGAAGTATTCCTCACACACACCAGTATGATTTAAAAAAAGGTAGATTTCCGGGGGGGGGGGGGGGCAAAGAGTGGTTTTTGTTCTTCTAAAAAGGGGACAATTTGCCAAGTAAGTTTAAGAGTATCTGATTTAGAGATTAGTGGACATAACTGTGACCCTGAGCCTAAACAATGAGAGAGGAATAGATGCTAGTAATGTCTTGTAACATGTCTAAAGAATAACCATAAGGTTATTATGTTTGCTTATTAAAAAATAATTAAAAAGCACAAAAGTACTAGAGTTGGGGGAAAGCTGAAACTTGGTTCAAAACTAGTTAAAATTAAAAAAAAAAAAACATAAGAGTTATTTTCTAAGGTGAGCAGGTCTAATGTATAACAAAGCATCTGACCCTGGTTCCTGGGAGAAAGCTCCTATATTACTGGGATTTCTCAAGAAATAGGAATTATTCCATTACTGATGTGCTTCTGAGTTTATGCCAGAATATGAGATAACACACGACAAGGGCTGCACACCAGAAAGATGAAGCCTTTGAGTAGAAGGTAGAGGGCTCTGAGCTAGTTAGACCTCTGGAGAGGAGAAAGAGGCTAGAGACTGAGCTGAATAAGATGGCCTATGATCCAATCAAGCGTGCCTTTGTGATGAAACCCTAATTAATTAAAAACTCTGGACAATGAAACTCAAAGAAATGTCTTGGTTGTCGCATACACTAATAAGTCAGGAGAGATAACACACCCTGATTTCATGATTCACCTTAGGTGTCTCTTCATCTGGTAAGTCCTGATATTCATCCTTTGTAATAAAACTATAATATTAAATTTAGTTCTCTCCTGTTGTTTTAGTGAACTACTGAGAATGAAGGGGTCACGAGAATCCCAAAATATGTAGCTGGTGGGTCAGAAGTGGGGGTAGCCTGAAAACACCATTTGGCATCTGCATACAGAAAGGGTCCAGCAGACTTGTGAGGTCTGATCTAATTTCAGGTGATCTGTGTCAAGACTGATCTGCAGAACAATAACTGGTGTCAGAAGAAGAGCATAACTCCAAATGGTTTTAAAAAAAAGGATATAAAAAGTCTCATGAAACTATAATCAAATTGCAAAATCACAGTAACTAAGGTTATACTCCAAGACTGAATATCTCATTCTGTGACTAAATCAGAAATTATAAGTCATATTTTTAAACTAAAGGATCTTAAATGAAGGGAGGGGAAAGCATTTAAGCAATTCTAACTTTTTTCTGGTTCTCACAAAAATTATTTTTATCTTTTTCCTTTATCTCTCCTTAACTTTATGTGTAAATCCAAAAATACACACAATAAGGAGACTTCAGAAGCAACTACAATCAAGCTGGAAATCTGGTCTCTCTATAGGGGTGCCTATATTCCAGATGTTGGGAGAGATAAATAGATAAGTTTTGAAAAAATATCAGGAATAACCAAGATTCACACTTTTAATATGGACAGGTGAATAAGATTTCTCCCCAAAAGTTGTGAATTATTTCCCTCATTTTCCAGCTGACTTTCCCTTACACACTGGACAGTTTCTCAAATAAAAAAGTAGGGAAAGAAGGGCAATTCAGAAAGACAGGAGGAGCAATGAGGAGGGAAGGAAATCAGCTCTGCAACCTGACTACAAATCACTGCCCAAAGGGAAGAGGAAGCAGAAAGCAGGAAGAAAGGGAGAACGTACTGAGAATCACAAAGAGCATTAAGTATAGCATGTCGTTCTCTACAATTATTCAAGGAATGCAGGAAAGAAGACCGAGTGCTGAGCCCATGTGTACCATGAGTACTGTGCCGTTCGCTGAAGGACAACCATTCGTTTCTAGAAAATGAGATTCTGAAATCCATGGAGGCAAAAATGTGCCAAGAGATGCTTGCTAAATCAAGGATATATGCTTTTCTCTGCCAGCCATAAGGTATTTCTGAGGTGGAGGAGCAAAAGGATCTTTCGAGACAAAGAAGAGAAGGACTATTTCTGAAGATGCCTTTGCTCATCAGATGACCTCTGCTGGATCAACAGTGGCATCCAGTGGCGAAAAGTCTCAGCACAGACTTCTTTGTCTCTGGAAAGGGTTTCTATTGCTTTGGGTAAAATGGTAATTCAGAACCAACCACTCATTTCTGATGTCTATAGCTAAGGATCCCCAAAGACACAGTACTTTGTAATACAAAGTGAAGAACCAAAGGCCATAAAGAGGAAATGGACAGGGGTAGTTTAAGATTGCCTATGGTATTTATATTTCCTGTGGTATCACTAAAATGAAAGAAAATACAGGATGAACATATAATAATGTGAGGAGAATTCTTCAGGTTTTACTGTCTCAAAACACTTTTTAAAAATGAGCACCTACGATTTTCATTTTAAAATCAAAGCAATACTGAAACAAAATTTTCGTGTGTGTGTGTGTGTGTGTGTGTGTGTTCCTTAGAAGAAAGAATTAGCAAGGCTTAATTAGGTAATTTAATTTGAATTTAAGTTTACTTCTGAAGTATCACTTTTAAAAGCTATGTTTCAGGTTCTAGGAGACAACTCAAAGGGCTTGCAGTGCATGACTGGCATGCTCTGGGGCCCCAGATTTGATGCCTGGAATGGCTTGGCCTCCCTAGCACCACCAGTTATAATTCTCATGGCTCCCAGCATCCCTGGATAAGCCCTTAACACACACACACACACACACACACACACACACACACACACACACACACCAAACTGAGTTTCAACTGCGAAATTCAGGTGCTTTTATAAGGGAGATAATGAAACTGGCTTAGGTATAACTTTAATCCACAACAAAAGTAGAAAAGAAAAGCACTTCACTCAAGAGAGTTTACATTCCAATTGTTGACTTAAATCACTTTTTTAAAAAAGTGTTCTTCAGATCAAGTTTCAGCCAGTAAAATGCTAGCAATTTCCTTTTTAACTTAAAAAAAAAGAAAAAGAAAAAAAGAAAAGAAACAGTGTAGAGACCTCTCTGGCAAATATAGTGTAGAGACCTCTCTTGCAAATATGATCACAAGTTCAAATCCCTGGTGTCTTACCATCTGCATCCAGGCACTCTGTTGTCAGTAACCCCTGGCACCACAAGTGAGTCCCAATTACACCACAGTCAGGTGTGTGAGAGCCCCAGCAGGAAGCACAGCAAAAAGCAGATCTGTGAGTGCCATAACCAGAAAGCATTTCCTCTGGGGAAAGTATGTGTGAGCACAGCAGCAACCCAAAGCCAGCAGTGTAAGCACAACTAAAGGAGAGCAAACCTCAGGGAGCACTGTGGCCAACTGGGCAACCCCAGCAGTACCATAACTAAAAATGTGAGAGCACCATAGCCAAGCCAAGTGTTGCATAATCCCAGGTCATCACAATAACTAGAAGGGAAAAGGGTGTAGAAACAGAGACAAGAACTTAAAAGTTAAGATTTTTTTAAAAATTATGCTTCCTCTGAGACATAAGCAAAAATGAAGGGAGAAAACCCTCAACTTATATCTTAATTAAATCACAATTTACCTTTCCAGATCAAAGATTAAAAAAAAAAAACGTACCCAGAGACTCTCATTCATGGTTTAATTGGTTCATTTTCTGTTTTACCTTTTAAGCCTTTTTTAAAAAAGTATGCAACTGTCATATACCTTATAGTCCTCAAATCTCCTGACAGCTCTGGCTGGTTCAGGTGCACAAACCAACTCTGACTCACCTGTTTGGATGAGACGTGGGGAGCATGAACTGGAATTCCACCACACACGTGTTGTCCTTAAGTTGGCGGTGCTGTACACTGTTAAGTTCATAGGCAATATAAGCCCTTCGAACATATACCTGGTTAAAAAGTAATCCTTGGTAAATATACCTCACAATCAAATGAAGAAATAGCTAGCATGGGAAAAAAGACATTCTTGAAAAAATCGTTCCCCCACTACCCACAAAATGACATTCCCATTTGATATGAACTTGGGAAATTGTTTTAGAGGGTTTGGCAACCCTAATAACACTATGATTCACATAAAAAAAAGTTTTTAGTGTTGCTAGACCTAAACAAACATCTTCCAAAGCATCGCAATAAAAAATGGTCTACTTTAGAGACTACAGACCGAACAAGATTGCCACTCAATGCCTCTTTTGCAAACCACAACACCCAGAAGGAGAGAGAGAACAAAAGGGAATGCCCTGCCACAGAGACGGGGTGGGAAGAGAGGAATGGGGGGGTGTGAGGGATACTGGGATCACTGGTGATGGAGAATGGGCTCTGGTGGAGGGATGGGTACTCAATCACTGTATAACTGAAACCCAAGTACAAAAATTTGTAAGTCTACAACTGTACATCATGGTGTTTCACTAATAAAAATTAAAAAAATAAAATAATTTTTTTAAAATTGCTTTTGAACAACTGGGAAAACTTGCATCATATGCAAAATAAAGGGTTTGTGGGAAAACTTGCATCCAATGCAAAATAGAGGGTTTGTGGAACTTCAAGGTTCTGCAAACACTAATTGCTTTATTCACTAGAGTTGGAGTTTTAAAACTATACACAAGGGGCTGGAGTGATAGTACAGAAGGTAGGGCACTTGCCTTGCATGAGGTGAATCCTCACATCCCATATGGTCCCCTGAGACCACCATGGGGATTCCTGAGTGCAGAACCAGCAGTAACCCCTGAGCACAGCTGGGTGTGCCCAAATATCCATCCTCCCACCTCCCCCCCCAAAAAAATACCCTATACCCATGACTATAAATAACCTAGCATGCCTCTGGGTACCACCAGGTGTCCTAGAAACCTTTCATACTAACCTAAACTCTATAGAAAGATGGATGCCTAGCGAAATTGAGCATACAGAACCTCATATAACATATATCACCTCATTAGGCTTGATCATTGCAACAGAAGATAAATGCAGTGAGAAAAATGAAAGATGCTGATTCTGGGTTGCTTGAAGAGTGAAGGCAGAAGCACTACAGTACAATTAAATTATTTTGCCATGTTGGACCTTTTAGTTCTTTTTGTAATTTTGGGGCCACACTGAGCGGTGTTCAGGGTTTACTCCTGGCTCATGAATTAAATGGGGTACCAGGGACCAAACCTGGGTCAGCTGCATGCAAGGCCTTACTCTCTGTACTATCTCTCCAGATCCTATCCTGAATCTTTATCTTGTTTTATTACCCCTCCTTATTGCCTCAAATCAAGTTTAATATTTTTAGCATATTTATATCCCCCCAAACCCAGGAAAAAGCATGCAGGCATAATTTAATCTATGATTTTTCAAACACACTAACTTGATTCAAGAGTTAAACAGCAAGAGTTAAATAAGTCGATCCAACCTCACACACTTCACAGCCAATTTGCCAAGCACATAAAATGCTACATGGGATTCTATCCGCATGTGAGAAAAATAAGGAGACTTCTCATTAAATGACATGAAAGCATCATAAAATACTTAAGATACGTTTAAAAGCTGGTATTTACTGAATAGGATATACTCTACCCCAGAATACAAATAAAAAGTAATCCAAAAGAGCTGGCAATAGACTGTAGCAATGTCATATTGCATAAAACCATTTAAAACACTTCTTTTTCTCATCTTCAAAAAACATCAACTTGGCAATTTTGCAGCAGTACTCAGCACCTACAATTTTTGTGCTTAATGAGGTAGTGTGCCATAGTGGAAACAGAAAAGCCTCTGAATAAGATGACCTGAGTTGAAACGTAGACTCTTCCACTGATTATCTGTGACACTGAGAGCTTGTTTGGAGGTTCTAGCAGGGGACCACAGCTACTTGTACGCCCCTGACCAAAGAATGGCTTGTCTTTCTCTAGGTATGGCTGACTCGTCCACTGAACATGCAACTTTGAGAGGGACTCATGCAGAGTGAGATGAAGAGGCCGCCACCTGGTCCACCAGATGAGTCAAACCAACCCTGGTGATTCAAATGGGTAACAGATATCTCAGCCAATCACCCTCATATCCTGTGTGATGTGATGTTGAACAAGTGACTTAATCTTTCAGACAGTCTTATTTTGTATGGTTACTTGTGTTTGTGGGCCACACCCAGCACTGCCCAGGGCTCACTCCCGGCTCTATGCTTAGGGATCACTCCTACTGGTGCTTGGGGGATTATATATAGTACAGGGGATCTAACCCTGGTGGCTGAGTGCAAGTAAGTACCTTGCTATCTCTCCATTCCTACCTTTCACAGACTTTCTTCCTCCTTCATAAAGTAATTGTAGGGTTAAGAGAATAAAGTAAAATACAATTCTAAAAATGTTATTACAGTCTTTTCCATGCTGAAACCATTTCCCAAGTACTGCTTGACAATTCAAAATATAACTAAAATCTATTTTATTTGATTCAAATCACAAAATAGTAACCACACTATGGAGGTGTTCTGATCAGCCATATATTTTTCACTTATTGCATTACAAGAAACTCTTGGTTCATAATGAAATGGAAGCATTCAAATACCTGGAAAATTGAAACTACTGAAAATTAAAATAAAATGCTGGCAACTACTGGGGAGGGGGGGGGGGAATTGGAGCCCAGAAGCTCATGATTAGTTCAGCTGATACACCTATGTTCCCGAAGATCAACATTTATTATTTTAGAGAAAAAAAAAATCGATGCTACTGAACCAACCTTCAGGTCAAAAAACAAGGAACCAAACAGAGGAAGTAAATCAGCTAGAAACCAAGGAAAAGGTTATGTCACATGACTATGAGAACTTACCTCCAGAGCTGCCATCCTCACGACCTGGTTGCTATGATAGAAGAAGTTTGGTAGAACATCAAAAATAGATGTTTCTGATAAGATGAGTTTCTGGAAGGTACAAAGACAAGATTAAATCATTACATCCAAAATAGAACAGAGTCAATGACCAACAGCTGGCATTTGAAGCACTGAGTGAAATCTAAGAATTGTGTCTATAAATTTCACATATGAATTTACCCTTTTTGGATCTTAGTTACAACTTAGTTACAAAATGGGGGGAAATTTTCTTGGGAGGGTACACCTGTTGGTGGTCAGGGATTACCCCTGGCTTTGTGCTCAGGGATCTCTCCTGGTGGGTTTGGTGGGACTATACGGGATGCCATGAACACAGGTTGGCTGCATGCAACGGAAGTGCCCTACCCACTGTACTCAGGCCAAAAAATAGGGGAAAACTGTAACACTATCCTCACAGGGCAATTGAGAGGATTAGAAGAGTTAATATATGTAAAATTCTTAGAATAATGTATTGACTTGTGTTTATTATATGCTAATATGTATTTATGACAATTATTATTCCTTCTGACATATATTTATATTCTACTACTTAAAAATTGTCCTAGTACTCCAGGATAGTAAATCTTTGACTTGAATTCCAGTTGAAATACAATATTTAAACGGTGAACCAAACAAAATATCTTTCTCACCCATTTAGATCCCCAGAAGAAAACCTGGCAAAAAGCCTAAAAACTTTCTTCACTAGGGATAGCAATATCAATCTTATGCCAAAGTAGAAAAAAATTGGAAAGCCATTCCAAAGAAAGCAGTAGAAAAAACAGAAAGTCTTTCCTCAGAAAGTGGTGTGTTTTATGGCTTTTTTTTTCCAGAGGTGGTGAGGGTAGCACACCCTACTGTTACTCCTGGCAGGCTCAGGAGACCATAAGGGATGCTGGGAATCAAACCCAGGTCGGCTGCATGCAAGGCAAACACTTTACCCTCTGAGGTATATCTCTGTCCCCAAAATGATGCTTAAAAAGATAACAATATAGGTCCATTCAATTAATAGTAAGATTATCCAGGATACTTTCAAAAAATTAGTTTTATAAAGTTGAAAATCATTGAAATTAAAAACTTAAGTAAAGTTTTTTACTTAACTTTACCGCTAGGAGACTAACAACTACCTATTTACATATCTAATCCAAATGCCAGAAATCTACCAGTGCTTCCACTTACATTTGGCCTAAAATACTCCCTAGATAAAGCCAAAGGCTAGACTTCAATAGGACACATCAAGGCATGTCTATTTAATGCCTAGCCAAATCCAATTCTACCCATATTTTTTTTCTTTTTTCTTTTTTAAAAAAAAAGTAAAATAAAAAAATTTTAGAAACTAACATTACAATGGGTGTGGGATGTAGCTCAGTGACAGAGCAGACCTTGTGAATGTTTAAGTATGAATGTCTGGGTTTGACCTCCAGCACCAAAATTAACTGATTACTTAATTAAACTCTGTTTGGGAGTACAAGGGACAGGAATGCAGAGACAGAGAAAATGTATACCTGCAGGTTTTCGATGCAAAATTGATGTCCATACATATCAATAGCTGATAGAAAGATGGACTCTACTTGGTTATGACGAAGCTCATATGATGGCAAATGGGAAGCAATAAGAACCTAGAGTGAGCACAAAATAAGAGGCGTAAGTTTCTGGGGGAGTCATCATTCTAGGTTCCTAGTAGGCAGGTCTGATACAAAAGCAATAAATGTAAATCTGTAGTGCAGGCATCAAAGATAAACCAGAGGCCGAGTAAAACAACTTCCAGGTCCTGCAGCATATAGTCAACACCACCAAATTTTGTGTCTCAGTTGACTCTCACCATGGAGGGCCTTATGGGCAATTTCCTATGGGGTGGAGTGAGGGGAAGGAGGGAAAGCAGCTTCAGTCAAGTTCCACCAGTGCATGGGATTCACCACTGCAAAGCTGCGAGTCTTGGGGACTGCGTGACTAGCTGTTAATTGGGAATCAGGTCTGGCAGGGCACAGCTGTGGTGGCGATGGAGGCAGCAGAGCTGGCCGTGTGCAACTCTGAAACAGAAAGACTATGAAAAGCTACTGTGACAGTCGCAGGTACTCAGGACCAAAGGAGAAGGCATCAGGACATACCACCAAGGAATGGGAGTGAAAGCATGTCACAAACAAACTGGAGCACGGCAGGACCTGAATACCCTCAGCAGGTCACTGAGAGGTTCAATAACTTTGAGTAGTTCAGTGACATGGATACAATTGCAGCGAAAGCAGAAGGTCACTGAGCAGCTTCAAATGCTGCTTCCCTGTCAGTGCCCAAGCACTGAAACACAAAGGAAGTGCCAACCCACAGCTTCCCTGCTGACTCCTTTTGGAATGGAAATGAAGCCTACGGGGTGAAACTAACTGGACTTCTCTGGGGTTGTTCCGACTGCTAGAGCCTAAGAATCATTTCATTTTCTTTCTGCTTTCCACACTTGGTTTTTCTTCCTCGAAACTTAAAAGTTTTCATCTGCTTCTCAGTTCCCTTTGGGAAGTAAGAAACAGTGAGTTTACTGACTTCCCTCAGCTGCCTTTCCTCTGCATGACCCTCGTTTACTAAGAGTAGGAAAAGATGCCAAGATTTTTAAAAGGGGAACAGCTTCCCCCATACACGCATTTAAAATCAATCTTTTCCATTCTCATAAGAAAATACATACACTACATGAAAATATTTGTTCTGAGCGCCAGTAACAAACACACAGAAAAATTGTAGGATGATCACTGTAGAGTGCCTGAGAAAGATATCACCATACACAGGACTGCCTAGTCTCTGAAAACCATTCCTCCCTCCAGGTAAGCCACACATGTCCTTACCTGGCGTGCTCTAAGTGCCACTTTAGCATTTGTCGTCTTACTGAGTTGAGTTAGCTCGGTGAGGATATTCAGCAGCTCATCAGTAAGGGTAGGGTCCCGGCCACACAACTGATCCTAATTTTTAATGTGAAAAAGAACATACACATACACATTAGAAACAACTGAAGCAGATAAAGACTATAAAATGGTAAAAAGAAATAATAAATTAATGGCTAATAAGAAAATGCACTGTTAATGTTATGCTGCACCCTGTAATAAAGGGAGGAGAAAACCCAAAAGGAGACCCAAATTTAATCCCTAGGACTACCAGGAGTGAACCTGGAGAACTGAGCCAGGAGTACCCCTGAGTACTGCAAAGTGTCACCAAATATAAACAAAAAAGAGAAGTTCAAACCCCTCGCTCAGGTTCAAGCTTCCTAATGTATTTCTTTATAAATCAACACCGTAATTTTAATATGCAGAAGAAATCATCATTAAGAAATCATTAAAAGGGGTTAAGAGAATTCTGAGTAAGGAGTAAGGGACATTTCAAAGTTTTAAAACATTTAAAATCATATAGGGCTAAAGGTTTTACTCTTCCCTCACACTTTTGAAATGAAGATGAATAAAGCAAAAGATACAACTCATGCTACAATCCAGATATTCAGCATCTAGCAGGGCACAAAAGAGAAGCACAAAAACAAATTACTCATAAACATTATTAAATAAAAACCACCATCTCATATTCTGACATTCAGTATCCCAAATCATTTATCCTCTTGCTGTACCTGAAGAGTCATTCCATGATCTAAACATGGTTAGTTCCTAACTGGATTAGAAAAGGGAAAAAAAAAAATCAAGTTCCCATAAGACCATGATTTTCAGTATTGATAACTACTTTTCCTAAGCTGCTAAGATAAATTTTCTATTTTGAGAAAAAAAATTTTCTGGAATCTAGGGGAATATCAGTTTATTCTCTAAATTCATCCATTATCCATGTAATTTCATATAAGCTAAAAAAATAAAAGTGTCATTTTTTTCCAATTATTTTTTAAACAGATTTACAAACTTCTGTAATTACATTTCAGCCATACCATGATTGAGTACCACCCATCCCTCCACCAGTGCCCATTCTCCACCATCAATGTTCTTAGTATCTCTCCTGTCAACCCCCTATTCCCCCCACTCCCCCATCTCTGTGGCAGGCACATTCCCTTTTACTCTCTCTCCTTTGGGGTGTTATGGTTTGTTACGGGTACTAAGTGGTCATCATGTTCGGTCCATACTCTACTTTCAGCACCCATCTCCCATCCTGAGCAAACCCTCCAAGCATCATTTACTTAGTGGTCCCTTCTCTATCTCAGCTGCCTTTTCCCTCAGCATGTGAGGCCGGCTTCTAAGCCATGAGGCGATACTCCTGGCCCTTATCTCTATTATCCTTGGGTGTTAGTCTCCCATTATGTTAAAAAGTGTCATTTTTAATGTCAAAAATTAACAATAGCGGTCCTAAATGTTACATCATAATAAAATATAAGGATTTAAGTATAGTTTCCTCCTCTTAAGAGTTGGAAATCCTTGCCTTTATATCTTAATGAAGTTGATGAGTGGGTGGGTGGGGGGAAGGGGGATGGGAGGGCCTCCCAAGCAGGACTCAGGGGCTAAGGCCCCTTACAGAGATACTCAGTTATCCTGCTGCTCCAATGCTTGGGTGGGTAATGTGTTGCTGCTCGGGCCCAGTGATGCTGCCTCACAGTGGAGTGGGAAGTTATCCAGGGCCACAACCTAAGATATTCAAGAATTTTTAACCAACCCTTATGGTTACCAGAACATGAAAGACAATAGGATGCCAAATGGCTTCCTGCTGCTGCTAAACTCCTTTATGAAAGAATCTTCAATTCGAACTTAACTTTCCCTATCTGAGGATACTCTAGAGTCCTTTTCCATAGCAGTGTAATAAAAGTTCGGGACTTCCAGATTTGGGGGCACATGGTATTCCCTACAGCACCTTTTCTAGAGCCCCTGTTAACCTCCTACATCACAGAGCTAAATTCTTTTGGAATGCTCAACACTACTATACTTCTCAAGTATTTTAAAGCAGGAAACATTTTCTGGTTCCCCAATCTACCCACCATCCACATGTCAGCTCCAAATGTCCAGTCATAAAATACATGATGATGTGATGATGTTTAAGTTAAGGAAAGGCCATTATTATCTGTTTTTAATCCACCTAGTGCATTACTTTACTTAGTGCTCACCTGAGTGGGAAGAAAAAAAGCTACTAAAGTGAACATGGGCTGGGGCTGGACTGATAGCACAGCGGGTAGGGCGTTTGCTTTCTACGCGGCCAACCAGGGTTCTATTCCCAGCATCTCATATGGTCCCCTGAGCCCCGCCAGGAGTAATTCCTGAGTGCAGAGCCAGGAGTAACCCCTGTTTATCGCCAGGTGTGACCCAAAAACCCAAAAAAAAATTAAAAATAAAAAAATAAAGTGAACATGGGCCAGAGAGATACAGTATAGTGGGCAGGGCACTTGTCCATCATGCAGCCAAATTGCATTCAATCTCCTGCACCCCATATGGTCTCCTGAATTCTGCAAAAAGAGATCACTGAGCTCAGAGTCAGGAGTAACCCCTGAGCACAGCCAGGTGTCACCAAAACCGAAATAAAAATGCCAGAAGATGGGGCTGGAGTAATAGCACAGTGGGTAGGGTGTTGCCTTGCACGTGGCCAATCCGGGTTTGATTCCCAGCATTCCATATGGTTCCCCCAAGCCAGGGGTAATTCCTGAGTGCAAATCATCGCTGGGTATGACACAAAAAAGGAAAAAAAAAAGCCAGAAGATACAAAAATAAAGAATGAATATAAATCTAGGTTTTAATTGAGCCATAGACCAGGAGACCTGTTCAAGGGTTATACTTGGACATAAAAGAGAATAGGGAGGAGAAAAGGTGACTAACTTTTGTTTGCTGAGATTTAATGAGCAAAACAGAATTTAAGAACTTTATCAAATCATCAGAAACAATATCTTTTATAAAAAGACAGTTCTTTTATTGCTCAGGTAAGTTTTTCCTACCTGCATCCCTCTCCATCTAAAGTACCTGAGAAAACATTCTTTTTGAGTTATTTTATTAGAATGACCCACTGAGAGATCTAAATACCTGAAAAGCACCCTGTTCGCTACAAATACTCAAGGTCTCAACATTTACAAAGAAATGACCATGTCAAAATAAGGACACAGCCCAGGCCAAAAAGAGAGTACAGGGATCAGGGTGCAAACTTAACATGCATGCACCCTGCCTGGTTCACTTCTGGCACTGCATATGGTTCCCCCAAGCACTGTCAGAAGGTCACCCCAATCACAGAGCTAGGAGTAAGCCCTAAGTAATACCATTTGTGACCCAAGGCCTCTCCACTTCCCCAACTAGAACACTAGCTACCTACCAAACCTGTTAAAGGGAATCCTAAGCTACCATTTCAGAAAAGAGGAAAATGAAGTCAGCTTTTTGCCTAGATCACATTCTAACTTAAAAACCCCAAACAGGGGCTGGAGTGATAGGACAGCAGGTAAGACATCTGCCTTGCATGTGACCAACCCGGGTTCGATCCCAGGCATCCAGGAGTAGACCCTGCGCACTGCCAAGTATGACCCAAAAACACCCAAAACAAAGCAAAATACCCAAATCATTTTTAATATTAAAACAAAACTCTTTCATATTAATAATTCAATATTTATCATTCTACAATGAGAAAAATAGTATAGGGCTGTAGGATGGGGGGTGTGGGGTGGGAGCGGGGGGAGGGGAAGAAACTGTATCTGTAAAAAAGGAAGAGGAAATAAAGAACCTATGGAGATTAGAAAAATAATAGGGAGGTAATTATTTGCTCCCAATCTCCAGCTGAAAATCTTCCTGAGTGTTCCTTGCAATTAAGTACAGAAGAACCAGATCTTCTTGGATGTACGTTAATAAACACAGTAAAATAAACCACATTTTCTGTTTGTTTATTCTGACTTGGATATTTTCATTCCATTGTCATCATTAGAACTAAAGCATAAAAAATGGCAATAGAAAACCGGAGTAACAGTTTCAACTCTGCTCTCCTTGACCTAGACAGTGTTCCAAGTTCTGAAATAAATCACTGAGAATGGAAAACCTTGCTGTTCATAAGAACCAAGCATTGTAAGATGAAAACATCCAGGCCCAAAAGAGAAAAAGTAAAGTGGGTAAGGCACTTTCCTTACATGATCCCCAGCACCACATATGGTTCCTCATACCTAGCCAGAAGCGTTCTCTGAGCACAGTCAGGAGTATGTCCTGAGCAAAGCCAGGTGCGTGTCCCCACCAAAAGGTAAAAAAAAAAATTTTTTTTTAAAGATGCAAACATCAAAATAGAAAACTTATGGCTATTTGTCCAAGAAGTAGCCTTCCTTTGAGCAACTGGACAGCCCAAGAGCAGCACTGAATCTTACAACAATGCTGACATACTCATATTAATAGTAAGTATGCCAGCAGATGTGTTTGCTCAACATAAAGAGATATACTCAACAAGCCTGCAGCTAATTTTGGGTTAGATATTGGGTCACTGATAATTCAGATTGGTACCACTTCTACTTTTATTCTCTGGTGATTAAACACAAGGAATTCCCAGATTTGCAAAAAATGTATAACAATATGCTTAAATGACCACAGCCAAAATTATGCAGCTGTACCACAAAGCCCATTATAGCCCAATATGGTCTCGGCATCCTCAGAACTGAAGGCAATTAAAACCAAAAAGAATGTGACCTGATATGTAATACTCTTAAATTAATTGTTGTTCAGCCAGGTCAGTCGCTTATCCCATTAACTGCAATGGACTAGTAGTTTCTACCAGTTCAAACTGGGATTGAAACTCTATAGACACAGGCACAGGTCTAATATGAAATTGTTAATATCCTTTTACAGTAAGCTTCAATAACTGAGACATTTTAACTTTATAACCTGGACAAAATTACTTGCAGCCATATTACAAGTAGAAAGGAAGCACACTAAACAGATTTTCATCTTATTTCGGTGAGTGTGTGGGTGAGGAAGTGGAGAAGAGTTAGAGAAAAAACCCAGGGCCCTAAACTTAAAAGACACTCAACCACTGATGCTATATTCAACCTGATCAGCACTGTAAATACTACTTATCTTAATCAAATCAGAAGCTCATTAAACATGGCATTATTCAGACAGAGATTTAAACAGTGCTTATATCATGTTCACATGAGTCACACTAGAAAGAAGAGAGATATAAAGAGTGAGAGGCGGGGCCCTGAGATAGATAAGGGTAAGGCCTCAAGCCACACCAGGAATGATCCCTGAGCCCCTGAGTGCAGTCAGGAGTAAGCCCTGAGCACAGCAAGTAAGACTCTAAACCCACCCTCACCTTCTACCACCCAGTTCCCCCACCCACTAAAAGAGGGGCAAACTAGTACCAAGGTGTCTTTCAACACATGTTTTGTTATCTAGAAAGTCATGAGGTTACTGATACTGGGGCTAGGAGAGAGAGGGAGTTTGGGAGAAGCTATTCCTGACTGTTCAGGAATGACACCTGATGGTGCTGGGAGCTCAGGGGCCACAATCATACGCCGTGTGGGAATCAAACCATGGTCAGCTGCGTGCAAGGCAAGCACCTTACTTCCTGTACTTTCTCTCCAGTCGTCCATACTCTTTACTGGTAACAAATTGCTTATTTTGACTAAATTTAAGAAGTCCATCAATATCTCTCAGTAAATGTAATCAATGCTCTAAGTTCTAAAATTAAAAGAGTTTTCATTATACAAACCTTTCTATTTTTTAGACTTCGTTTTCAATATTGGCACACTGTTCCTCCACATGGAGAAAACTAATAGGACTTTAGCATTTTTAATTAATATTTTGCTTTCCAGATTAGGTACGAGACTAGAAGGAATTTGCTCAAGCATCCCCAAGGCAGGTGAACACTCAGCATCCTCCCATGGAGACAAAGGCTTGTCTTGACTGGAGCAGCCCATATTCTACACTAATTCACAGAAGCCTGATCTTCTCCATCCTTCCATCTAGATTCAAAGGTCTCAGAAATCACCATCTATGGTCAGTGAAGCACACCAGCAACATTCCTATTTCTAGAAAACAGACTGGAAGGTCAGACATATGACTATCAACCAGGAAGCCAAGGTAAGCGAAGAAAGGGGAGCCAGTAGAGAACACAAGCTGAGGTTAATGCAATGCTACCTTGTCCAGGTGTTATCTGTTAAAGACAATAAAACATGCAAAAAGAGTAAGTCAAACAACTAAAATAATGGTCCTCCTGACCAGCTTCCACCATTAACGCTGATGGCAGGGTAACGCAGGGGCAAAGTGTCTGATAATTACAAAGCAGAAGAAGGAAGCCTTGCCTTGCAGCCATACTATTCGATTAGAAAGGTAGAAAGGAGCATCGTGCTATTGTCCTTCCTGCTCCAGAAGCACTGTTCCCTGGCCCTCAGCTCAATCATATTCCTTATATCCAAGTCTCTAGTATGAAGTTCCTGAAAGTACCTGATGTTTCCAAAGGAAAGTAATGATACGAAGGCCAGCTATGTTTACTGAGTTGTGTTTTTAAGTACAAACTGTGAAGAAGCCAAAATAAATGGACAAACACATCTTCCTCATTCACATCTTCAACTGTCTTCCTCTTCCTCCTCCTTTTCTCCCTGTCCTATTCATTCAAATCCAAACACTAAGAAACAGCTCTTTTCTCCAAAGAGCCCAGTCGACTGGAAAGAAAGTTGGGGCCCTATCCATGCAGGTAAGAAGTAATCAGGACGATAAGGTGGGGAAAAAAGAACAGCAGCAAGTCAGAGTCCCATTGGCTTATGCCTGTCCTGACTGGCAAAAGCAGAAAGCAAAGCCTCAAACCAGTTCTTTGACAGGGCCCAACGCCTCTGCAGCACCCCCGTGTAATTACACACTTGAGTGACTGGACTCTGAAGAAAATTGAAGGCCTGAGCTCCGAACAGCTGCCATTTTCTCTCTCCATCACACCAGCGTGATTACTTGAGAAATGAACAGCCCCGGCTCAAAGCTACTCCAGAATTCTCAGAGGAAATATGGCTCCGTGTTCCAATAATGAGATTCTTAAGGCAAGCGTTACTTACAATCACTCCGCAAAAGGAGCGAGCCGAGCCCCTATATCTTACAAATTAGAATTTAAGAAACCCAGCGACAGTCTTGGGCGATCATTACTCTTCCGCTGCTCCAAGGATTCTGGGCTTTGGTCTATTTTTAGTACAGAAAACTGTTAAGTCCTTAAAAAGGTAATCATAATAAAATGAAAAACTCACCATAATTAGCTTTCTAAAAGGGAAAATTCTACCCAATCCTATGTCCAAAACTGAAAGATTCTTCTACTCCCTTGCATTTCCCTTTTCAGACAGAAAGTGTTACATTTATCCAAATGAGAATAAGCAATCTTTGCATTTAAATTTAAAGATAAATTAAATAGTCAGGAGGTTTCTTCCCTTTTTTTTGACTGAGATAAAAAAAGTTGTATAGATCATATCATTTCTTTACCTAGTGCTTTTATATATATGCATAATATTTGTTTGCTTTTTTCGTCCAAATGCGTCCGTGAGGTTCTCTAGCATCCAGCTTTTGGGGTAGCAAAGGTAGTGAACTCTTCCTATAATAACATATAATTTAAAATGGCTATTCTAAAAAATGTTATATATCTTTGAGTTGGCCACCTAGGCAGGTAACTGAATGAACAGCAGTAAAGATTTATGGCTTTTTCTTCTTCCAAGAAGAAATGATGGGATTGAGGTGCAAGCAATGCAAATTCCACAAAGGGACAAAAGGAACCTCTGGGAACAAAAGGTTCTCTACCCCACACAAAAGACAAACATGCAGCAGTAAAGCAATTATTCATGGGATGGGGACTCTAAGAACAGTCCTGTTATTTTCTGTATCCTCGGACTAACTCAACTAGGAAAAAAAAATCAAGACATGAAGAACCTGCAAATCAGCTCTGAAAATCTTTAACAACTCAGAATTCTACTTGCTGGTCAAATGAGCATTCACTGGTCTTAGCTCTCATTCTCACTTTTACTAATTGTATTACTGGACTATGGCTAGAAAAGCATCAATCAGTAAAAATCTAAGCCTGGATTCCAATGTAGATAAAACAGAAAAGAGCCAATAGAGATGCAGAGTACATCTGAATTTCTTTGATAGAAGCACTAGACTTCTAACTGCTGTATCTAGTTTTGAAATTTCAGACAATATATTGCTTATATTCATATAATGAAAATGTATAATGGCTATATAAATTAAAATTAACCTACTGACTTTAGTGACGATAGGAATGGAGAAGTATAGAGCATCTCTTAATCAAGAGATTAGAATGCCTGTGCCAGATTGTATGCAGAGTGCTACAACAATCCTTTCCTGGCTGGAGCAGATTCCCAGGGTCCAAGACAAAAGTAGATAAGAGAAATTTTCAGTCTACAGCCCAAGCCATACTCATCCAATAACTGCACAGATAGGAGCGCTTCCTCTGGCCACAGTCAACAGAAAAGAAACACTTTTTTAAAAGCATAATCAACCATCCTTAAAGATTCTAAGAAAGGGTACTCACAATAAGCATCGTGACCAGAAGATTCTTCTTGGTGACTTGAGCGTGAGAGAAGATATAGTTCAACACAGTGTTCATGTCACTCTTGTTCTCCTCCCGAAGGGCAAACACACACTTGTCATAGTGACCTGCAAATAACAAAGAAAAGTGATCCTCGCCCAGATAACAATGTTTATATTTACATGATGTTTGTTTTCAATATATATATTTACCAGATAGGCTGTGAAAAGGAATAGCCTTATACTTTTCTTAGGGGCCAGCGTGATAGTATAATGGATAGGGTGCTTGCCTTGCATATGGCGAACCCAGGTTCAATTCCTGGAATCCCATATGGCCCATATTATTCCAAGCACCACCAGGAGTAACTTCTGAGTGCAGAGCTAGGAGTAACTCCTGGTGTGAACCCCCTAAACAAAAAAGTATCCATAAGGAGCACTTGATGAGGCTCAAAAAACAAAAATAAACACTGTCATTTAGCTTTCTGAAATGATATTCTTAGAAGAAAAGGCTCTGTTTCTTAAAAAGAAATATCAGAACCATTAAATCTAATGATTTCTAAAGTCTACTCTAGCTTGACATTCAGGGGCTATGTTTGACTCACTGAAAACTATAACAGTTTTAGATCATAGGTAAAACCACAATAAATGTATCAATATTCATAGAAGTATGGCTGCTACCTCTGGAATCAAGTTTCCTCCCCTCTGTAAATTCATGAGTAGCTAAGCAATGCCCAGGAATTCCAAATCCAAACTAAGGCATAGGTCAAAAGAGAATCTTTCATTAAATCAAAAGGTATACAGGACTACTACAACTATGTATATTTCTCCTGGTCTTTCTGGAGTTTACCAGGGTCTGGCCAAGAGAGTTTTATTTGACAAAAGAAACATATATGAGACATCTACAACAACGTCACCAAGGGATGAGAGTTATATTCTGTGTTTCACATCCAAATTATACTTCTAGAAGAAGGGGAATTAGTGTTTGAAGAATCTCAAGGCTCAGAATCTATTTTTTTTTTCTTTTTGGGTCACTCCTGGCAATGCTCAGGGGCTACTCCTGACTCTGCTCTCAGGAATATCTCTGATGCTCAGGGAAGCATATGGGGTGCCAGGAATCAAACCTGGGTCACAATGTGCAAAACAAACACCCACCCATTGTACTATTGCTCCAGCCAAGGCTCAGAATCTTATGAAATTATGAGGATACTAAAGGATTATCACCTCAGTTCAGACTCTATGCTGAGTTGCAGACCAGAACAGTGGTATTCAAGTTGCATTAGAATGGATTCCTTGACTACCAATTACAATGGCACAGGGCAACTCTGCTTGTATCAGTTTTAAATATTAGAGACCAACTTTTTTTTCTAAATGAAAGTAAATGAACAGACATAGTGTAGGGGTTAAGGCAACTGCCTGCCCGCAGTCAGCACCAGTCTGACCTCCTGCACCACAGATCTAAGAGTAAGCCTTGAGCAATGCCAGGTAAGCCTCAAACCCTCAGTTCCTTCCCTCCCAAAATAGAAATTACAGTCTATTTTTAAAATAGCTGACAACAATACTTAAGGGACTATCGATTCCATAAAAGCCCCATATAGAACAAATCAGAATCCAATTAAAAATTGGCAGTCCTTTATAAAAGCTTAGCTTTCAAGTCACAACAAAAACCTATTTTATTTATTTTTGGCTTTGGGGGTCATACCCAGCAGTGCTCAGAGGTCACATATGACAGGGTTTAGGAGACCATTAGGGGTACTGGGGATTGAATCCATATTAGCCAAGATGCAAGGCGAGCCTCTATCCACTGTACTATTGTTTTGACTCCAAGAAACCTATTTTGGTAAGAAGAATAGCTAGGACAGAAAATTTAGCCAGAAGGAAGTGGGGAAGGTGGCAGCAATACTAAGCAGAAAAAAAATACCAATTAAAAAATTATTGTGAAATATACACAAATAAGATAAATACCATATAACTTAATAGAACTTTTTTAGTATCTTTGAAGGAACCATACGTGCTCCTCCTCAGAAACAACCAGTAGGCTAAATTTTGTGTTAATTCTTCTTTCATTTTTCTTTGTATTTAATCACAAACGTAAGTTTTATTTCTTACTGCTTTTTGGAGTGAGTTTTTGGGACAGACTTGGCAGTGTTCAGAGACTGTTAAGAGACCATATTGGTGCTACGGATTGAACCAGGGTCAGCTGCATGCAATGCAAGTGCCTTAACTCCTATACAATCTCTCTCCTTTTTCCTGCTTTTCAACTTGATAAAAATGTAAACATTTTATATGGAGCCTTCTATAAGCTGTTTTTTTCCAGTCAACATTTTATTTTTGAGATGCATCCTTTTGTTCACACATAAAACTTGGTTTCTCCATTTTTAATGTTGTATGGTAATCCTTTGAAGTAAGAGTAGACCAGCATTCAACCAGCTATTTTACTTCATATATTCATATGTTTCCTGGATTTCTTGTTTGTTTTTGCTATTATAAACAACGCAGCCACAAAACAGGCATATATAATGTTTAAAACGCATGTGTAACACTTTCTGTAGAGCATATTACTTTGAAGGGAGCCACACCTAATAATGTGGTGGTGCCAAGGACTGAGCCCAGGGCTCCTATAAGCAAAACACTATTCCAGTCCTTGAAGCCATCTCACCTGCCCTGGAGCATATTACTGATGAGTGAAATAGCTAGATCAAAGAACAACTACATAACAAAGAATATTAGATATTTGCAAACCATTTTCCAAAATGGTTATGCCAATTTATACTTCCATTTACAGAAGGAACAGAAAACGGTGTGACTTCTGTATAGCTTGAGGGCCCCACCTGAAGGTGTTTGGGAGCTATTCCTGCCCGTGCTTGGGGGACCATGCAGTGTTGGGGACTGAGCCTGGGGTTCCAGCAGAGAAAGCAAGTGCTCCAACCCTTTGAACAATCTCTGTGGTCCTGATGTGACTATTTAATGCTTGCCAATCTCACCACAGTATGGTACACATTTCTCAAAAAAAGTAATGAGACTGAGCATGATTTGTGCTGTTTCTAATGTGAGTTTTCTTTTCATAGTCTTTGGACATTTTTCTATTAAGTGCCTTTTGATTTGTAGAGTAAGTATTACAGAAATTAATCCTTTGTTGTTTGTATGTTTTGGAAATAGTGTCTCCTAAGTAGGGGCTTGTATTTCAATCTCATGGTATCTATTTTGGGGGGTGGGAGGAGGCAGCAGCGCTCAGGGGTTACTCCTAGCTCAGGAATCTCTCCTGGTAGGCTCAGTGGACTACATGGGATGCTGGGAATCGAACCCAATTTGGGCGTGTGCAAGCAAGCACCTTACTTGCTGTACTATCACTCTGGCCCCACATTATGGTATCTTACACTAGTTTTTAAGTTAGGTCAAGTTAACCTTTTCCTTTTTAGTTTGTATTCGCATGTCTTGTATGATAAAATCTTCTCTACTTGATGTCACAGGATTTTCTAAAATTTTAGTAGTTTTGCCTCCTTAGTACAAGTTAAATTCCATGATTCATCAGGAGTTTGTGTGTGGACAGTTTCATATATGGACCCAATTTTTTCACTTAGTTTTACAAATGGATAATCCACGGTTCCAGTAACATTTTTTGGAAAGTTTATTTTTTCCTCAATATCAACAATACTGGCTGTATCTGAAATAATGTATTCATATAAGTTGGATCTGAGTTATTGTGTTCCACTGACCTTTTAATCTGTGCCTATGTAAATATTACACTCTTTATTAATATAGCTCTATATTAATTTGGGAGGGGTGGTACAGCCTATTCTCTGTGGCACTCGGGGATCGATGCTCAGGGGTCATTCCAGCTGTATGCTGAAGGGTCATTCCTGACAGTGCTTTGGGGAACCTTACATGGTGTTGGTTATCAAAGCATGTCAGCGACATTCGAGAAAAGTATCTCCACCCCTGTACTATCTCTCCAGACCCTTTATATTAAGTTTTTTTTTTTTTGGATGTTTGATGGGGGGGGGGGAAGGAAAGGAGAGGTCACACCCAAGAGTGCTCAGGGATTATTCCTGGCTCTGTGCTTAGGGATCTCTCCTGGTGGTGCTTGAGGGACCATATGAGGTGCAGGGATCTAACTTAAAATAGCTACATGTAAAGCAAGCATCCTACCCATTATACTATGCCTAGCAGAATTTTCACAACATCAATGAGCATAAATTCAGGAAGAATCAACACTTTACAAATATATATGCTTATTTAAGATCATGACTTTTATTTAGATCTACTTTGGTATTACTCCAGTTTATAATTTACTCAAAAAGAGGCTTACAAGGTTGTAGTCGGATTTATCCTTTAGTGTTTTCTGTTTGGAGCTATTCGCGGTGGTGCTTGCAACCATGTGGTGCTAGGGATGAATCCAGGCCTCTTGCATTCAAAGCATGTGCTCAGTCCACTAAGCTATCTTTCTAGCCCTGGGGTTATTATTTGAAATGGCATATTTTTCTAAATTGCTTTTTCTAAATGACTATCCTACTATCAAGAAATAACCACAAGCTGTATATTGACTTTGTATCCAGCTACATTGCTATGACTTTAACAATTTTAATTAGAAACATGTGAATTCTTTGAGACTTTCAGGTGGATATCATATAATAATACTGGCAGATTTTTTTTCCTTTCTAGTTTAATTTTTTTTTCTTTTCTTTACTGTATTGGCTAGCATATGTAGTATGATACTAAATAAAAATAATAACAAGCCCTTTTCCTAATGTTAAAGAAAATGCTTCCAAATGTTCTCCCATATATGATGTATCCTATAGATATTTTTGTGAGGACACTTTATGAAATTAATGTTTAATTTCAGGAACCAGAGCAATAGTACAAGGGGTAAAGCACTCATCTTGCATGTCTGACCCAGGTTCGATCCCCAGCATCCCAGATGTCTCCCAAGAATAAATCCTGAGCATCAGCAGGTGTGATCAAAAAACAAATAAACAAAAAGTTGGATTTCATTCGTTTTTTTTTTGCTTTTTGGGTCACACCCAGAAATGCACAGGGGTTACTCCTGGCTCTGCACTCAGGAATTACTCCTGGCAGTGCTCAGGGGACCATATAAGATGCTGGGAATCAAACCCAGGTTGGCCACATTCAAAGCAAACGCTCTACCCGCTGTGCTATTGCTCCAGCCCCCTTGATTTCATTCTTAATTTACATATATTTTGTTAAATGCTTTCCTTCTACATATCCTGATAGGAGAGCCATATATTTTTCCTTTTCCTAATCTATTACTTGAGAAACTTTAATTGGTTATCAGCATTAATCAAATTTACATTAGTGGGATAAAGCCAACTTGGCAATGATGTAGTTTGGCACAATGCTGGATTTGGTTCAAAATATTTGAGGTTTTTTTTCTAGTATTGAGTAGCAGAGCCATCTTATTTTGATTTTCTCTTTTTATTTTTTTAAGGATGCAAAAGGAAACAAATTAGATAAAAGAAAATGTTAGACAATATTTCAAATTCTGTGGTGTTTAACTGCCACCTTGTGGCAAGAAGCATTATCAGCAGTACATTATCTTTAAAATCTTAGCCAGGATGTTTCACATTTAGACTTTTACGCATAGCACAGCGGGTAGGGCATTTGCCTTGCACGTGGCCGACCCGGGTTCGATTCATCCGTCCCTCTTGGAGAGCCTGGCAAGTTACTGAGAGTATCCCGCCCGCACGGCAGAGCCTGGCAAGCTCCCTGTGGCATATTCGATATGCCAAAAACAGTAACAAGTCTCACAATGGAGATGTTACTGGTGCCCGCTTAACGAAATTGATAAACAACGGGAGGACAGTGCTCCAGTGCTACAGATCATTTAGTGAAGCTCTTCAGAGAAAGCCAGGGATAAATTGCACCTAATCGATGAACTAAAAAATCAGCATATCTGAGCCTTTTCCAGAAGCCTATGAGTTCAATCTATGGATTAGATGCTGAGAGGCAAGCTCTTCAGATATACTCACTTTAAGTTTTGTCATGACTCAACCAACTCTTACTATACTAAATCCAGAAAACACCAACAGAGAATACTAATCTCTACTAGAAAGAATATGATCTCAGCCCTTTCCCAGAGCTACTCAGCTCACAATCTCATCAAGCTATGGTTTGGCAGTTCCCCAGCAGTGCTCAGGAGACTTGGGAGCACTGCTTAGTGATGCTCGACTAGCCAGGCCTGCAAGGTCACCCATATCGAGCAATGCTCAGAGGCCTCCAGGACCACATCCTGCAATGCTTGGGAGATCATGTGGTGCTGAGGAGAAGATCAAAATTGAATTGGCCACATGCAAGGGAATGCCTTAACCTCTTTACTCTCTCTCTGATCCCACAAACTTTGTTCTGTTGTTCTCTATTTGGCACTAGTGTTATGAAAGTTTCAGAGTTTTTGTTGTGATTTCTTTTCCTCATACACTGGGACCATTAGCAGTTATACATTGTGGGCCTAGCAGTGCTTAGCGACCACCAGTATTATGTCCTACGACACTCAGAGGGCCATGGTGTACTAAGGATTATCAAGGTCCCACCCATTCCAGACATGTATTGTACCATTTACGCCATATCCCCAGCTCCAATATTTTCCTTTATTAAAGAGGCAGGCAAGAGCTGGAGAGACAGATCAATGTTTTAAGCACATATTTCACATGCAGGATGCCCATGTTCCATTCCTGCTCTGCATGGTCCCCTGAGCACTGCCAGGCACGACTGCTATGGAACAAGCCAAGTGCAGCTGTGACACCTCTGACTGTGGTACCCCACCCCACCCCACCCCCACCCCCCCCAAAAAAAGAAAATGAGAGTGGTGACTGAAGAAAGAGTTGAATAGCAAGTTTCTGTGGCTGGACGGACAGATGCTGCAGTTCACATATGTTGCACAATACCACTCAATACTGAGTCCACGAGAAGAGACTTACCACTCTGAAACTGTGTCTCTACTCTCAGGTACTGCCGCAGCAGGTCCATCACTACAGCCTTCATGTGGCCTCGGATGCCACTTCGGTACCTAGGCAAGCATAAAAAGGCTCAAATAAAAAACTACAACCTGTGATACTATTCAAGAACAGACTATTAAATAATAAATCTACAGCCCAGATTTACTTGGTAAACATTCAACTGAGCTACTTTCCCTCTGAATAGTAGATGGGACAGAAGCAGCCTACAACCAACTAAACAGATTGGTTTACATATCAACTCTGAAAGAAATCTGACTATAAATAAGATTATCTTAAAGAAAAAGAAAGGGCTGGAGAGATGGAACAGTGGGTAGGGTGTTTGCCTTGCACACGGCCAACCCGGGTTCGATTCCCAGCATCCCATTATGGTCCCGAGCACCACCAGGAGTAATTCCTGAGTGCAGAGCCAGGAGTAACCCCTGTGCATCGCCAGGTGTGACCCAAAAAGAAAAAAAAAAAAGAGAGAGAGAGAGAGAGAGAGAAAGAGAGAAAGGGAGAACAAACCAAAAGCCACTTGATAGCCCAAACTGTGCTACGAATCTTTTCTTAATGTTATGTAGAATAAATTCCTCAAAATGAATAACTATCTAGAAAATGTATGAGTATATTGGGGGGGGGGTTGTTTTTATGTTTGGGGGCTATACCTGGAGGTGTTCAGGGAACCATATGAGGTGCCAGAGATTGAACCTGGGTTGGCCTGGTATGCCCCCCCCCCCAAAAAAAAAAAACAGAAACTTTAAAAAGTCTGCTGGAGCCATAGTGATAGTACAGCAAGTAAGGTATTTTCATTGCACACGGCCAACTCCAGTTTGATCCCTGGTATCCTATATGGTCCCCCAAGCATCGCCAGGAGTAAATTCTGAGTGCAGAGCCAGGAGGAACCCCTAAGATCGCCAGGTGTGACCCAAAAAGCCAAAATAAAAATAAAAAGTCTGTGCTTTCATAGTTTGACAGAGAGATACAAAATAGAAAAGAGCCATAAATATTGACTATGAGAGTTAGATCACAATTGTAAATTATTTAGAAGACAAAATATATCCTAAGACGAGACACACAAAAGAATCTCAGAACCAAGCAGCTCACTACAGAGATGCCTCCAGACTTTGCAACAGGCCACTTTCGCTGGGCTACTCCAGATGGGAGCAGGTGCTGTCCTTCTGCCTGCCCCTAGGAATCCCGGTGGTCACCATCTTCCAGAACTCAATGAGAAGCCCAGGTACTTGGGAGGGCCATGATCCAGAGATACACAAAAAAATTTCGAAACAGAGCAGGTCACTGCAGAGATCTCTCCAGACCCTAATTATTAAAATTTTAGAATTCCAGGAGTGCCACATGACATCACATTCTATTCATAAAAAGCAATACAAAATAAATTGTCTAGCATTGCCTTTCTGGCAGGTTTGACTGGGAAAATTTTAAATAATTATGGTGGGACTGGTGTCAAAATATTGAATGTAATCAAAGTAGAGTGAAAGTATTATGGAAATTGTCTGCCACAGAGGCAGGGAGGTTGGGATAGGGGGAATACTGGGAATTTTGGTGGTGGAAAACGTGCACTGGTGAAGGAAATGGTATTTGATCATTGTATGACAGAAACTCAAATATGAAAGCTTTGTAACTGTATCTCACAGTGATTCAATTAAAAAAAATTCCTAAGATTGAAGGTATTTTCTAATTTCAATGAGTCAAATCTGAATTAAATCTCTTCATGACTGCTTAGATGAAAAAAAAAAGGTACTGGGATGGACAGCTGGGAGTTTGGTGTTATATATAATACCTCTGTACCAGTTGGACAATACTCTGAGTATTCATGAAGAAGACTTCCCGTTCAGATTTCCGGTTCAATGTAGCTGCGTGGCTATCTAGAATGTTGGCAATCTAAAGTATCAGAAAGGGGGACAAAATGAAGACAAAAATCAAGAAAGTCTCCTGAAGTATTAACCTACATAAACAACATCACCACTAAGAATCTTAATTATTGCACAATACTTTCTATCCTTCACATGTTGGGAGCAACTGAAATTACCAAGTCACAGTATAGCAGCTTCTGTTAAAAAAAAAAAAAGCAAACAAGTCTGATCTCTTTTCACCATTTCCCAGAAGAACTCCTGACTGTATCACAAAAACTACCATTGTAAACAATATCCTAAAAAACAAGTACCCTTTACAGTCAAGGTTCAATCTTTACTCTCCACTGGTTCAGTTTTACTTCCTATATGTCAATTTGCTTCATATTTATAAAGGGTAAGTATGGTGTAGAGGAGGAAAACAAGTCTCTATAAAATTATAAATGTCTACTTGAAATTCACAGAAATATCTCTAATTAGGGTACAGCCTCATGAACTCTATGGAGCATGTGACCAAAGTATGCCTTTCTTATAACCACACATTTCACATATAGTACTTACATCATGAACTTGTATCATAGGGCAATTTTGTGAAAGCACAATGCTTAAAACTGTAAAGTACAGTATCTCAAGAGGAGAACCCACACAGGAAGGACTCCTACAATGTGAACTCTAGAACTTATAGTCGGAGGAAAACAACAGTAGTATCACTCTATTGATACCTGTTGGCTAGGAAACTGGCAAAGGACTGATGTGATGTTACTAGCATACTGAGCCATTTCTTTCTTGATAGACTTCTCCACGTTGGGAGGAATACGACCAGAGACACTGGTCATGATATCTTGCAACTCTAGGAGAGGCAATGAGGGATCTCTGAGGGTCTTCATCAACCGCTCCACCCAGTCTTTTACCTGAGAAGAAAATGAAGTAGGATACAGATGAAATTACAGAAATGCCCTAAATGAAATGATACATCTAAATTCATTATCACATAGTTCTTTAAAATTTCAATAAAAGCCCATAGCACTACCCTTATTCTCTAGTTTATATCATAAGGAAATGTGAAATCAATGACAGAAACAAAAAGGCCAACATTAAAAACTTCAAAATCCTACACATAAAGGGGAGCAAGTTCCAGGCAAAAGGTTTTCTTTGCCATACTCTGAAACATAATCCCTTATGCAACTTTCAGACTATGATGGAAAACAACTCCCCTATTTGTCTATCCTTTCCCCAATAAAAGTGGTTCATACCCTGTTGCTGAAGAAAGGATCTGGAAGGCAGTATCCATTCATCACATTGACCAGGTTATCCAGGACATAGTGGAACACTCGATGGAGCTTCTCGCCTCGGAGAGCTGTGCTCTGGATCCGTGGCAGACTACCTGTGTGAAGCTCAGCCTGTCAACCCCAAAGAGAGATCAAATTATCCACTACCCCTACTCAGTGTACAAGCCCACTATTTCAACGTGGAGCCATCCTTCAGGACCAAGACAGTTTGCCACCATATATGGCTACAAGGAGAAAAGTCAATGGAGAATAATCTGAGGAAAGTGAGGGATTGTAGAACACTTGCAAAGCCTAAATCCCTCAGTGATCAGCACAGCCAAGTGTGCAAACCTGGGGATTGACCCCCTCCGTGAGCACCTCAGCCACACAAATGGGCACACTCGTGATTGTAACCAAAACAACAATAAAGGGAAGGAGGAGGAGGAGAAGGGAGCAGAAATATTTTTTAAATTAAGAAAAAAAAGAAAAAATGTAAGCAAACCAAGCTATAAATTCATTTGTCCCTTCCAGTTTGCCACTAGCATATAATCTGCTCATGGAAAGCAACATCCAAAGCACTTTCCGATATACCTGCTGGACCTTGCTGGGGTTATCCAACTGCATCTTGGCTATTACACATCCTGGATCAAGAGCTGCTCCAGGCCGCTTGACATAATGAACACAGCCAGACTCTGCAGCTGTTAAGGTCATTACCATCTTCATTACCTGGAGTGAAAAATAAAATAAGAGCTTGACCTCTAGACATAAATGAAGTGATTTAAAGAGGTTTTCCTTTAGCATCTACATATGACTATCCTCAAATAGCACATAAAAACAGGAACCTCCAAAGGACCAGGAGGCAGGCAATAAGAAAAGCTTTTCGTACAAAGTTCCCCAAATTAATAACAGTTATTGACTTTCTATTTAAATTTTGTCGTTAGTTTGTGTTTTTCACTTTATACTTTGAAGTGATAAACTAATGTATCCTCCATATATACATGAATCTAGGGGTTTCCTTTTTCTCCCTAAGATCTCCAGGCCAAACTTAAGGGCCATTCTTTACTTCTTCATCTCTTATCTATCAATAAATTATAATTCAACTCCCTTACCCCCAACAGATTTCCCTATGTGACATAAACTTCCAATAATGTCACTGAAAAAAATTATCTCTAGTGCCTGAATTTCATCATATATATGACTGTCCTTTACTCCACAGCCTTTAGAATAGTCTAAACTTCGTAGTATTTCTTAAAAGATTCTTCATGATCTCAAATTATGATTATTTTAATTTTAGAGACCAGAGAGATAGTACAGAAGGTAAGGCACTTGCCTTGCATGCTGATGACCCAGATTCAATCCCTGACATACCACATGTTCCACAAGCTACCAGGATGACTCTGAATACAGAGCCACGGGAAAGCCAGTGCGAACCAAAATTAAAAAATAAAATAGGGCTGGAGCGATAGCACAGCGGGTAGGGCGTTTGCCTTGCACGTGGCCTATCCGGGTTCGATTCCCAGCATCCCATATGGTGCCCCGAGCATCGCCAGGAGTAACTCCTGAGTGCAGAGCCAGGAGTAATCCCTGTGCATCGCTGGGTGTGACCCAAAAAGCAAAAAGAAAAAAAGAATTGTTCATCTATTCCCCTGTCTCCAGGGTAGTCTAAACTTCATAGTATGTCTTAAAAAGATCTTCAATGATCTTAAATTCTGATTATTTATTTTTCATCATTGCTTATCATTTATTAAGTACAAACCGTCCTGAAATATTCTTGTTTCTGCGCCTTTACTTAGGATGTTTCTTTGACTTTTAGTGTTCTTCCCCAACCTCCTTTCCCAAGTGTTCTACTACTATCAAATATTCCCCCTTTCAGTAAGTCTTTCCTTACTACTTACCCATGTCCACCTAATTTCACTGAAATGGGTTTAATGGCTTCCTGCACTCTATGCTTGTCTTTAAATTTATATTCTCTTAACTGTTTCAGGGCTGGAGTGATAGCACAGCGGGTAGGGCATTGGCCTTGCATGTGGCCAACACGGCCGACCCGCATTCGATTCCTCTACCCGTCTCAGAGAGTCCGGCAAGCTACCCAGAGTATCTCGCCCGCACGGCAAAGCCTTGCAAGCTCCCCATGACGTATTCGATATACCAAACAAAGTAACAAGTCTCATGATGTTACTGGGCCCGCTCGAGCAAATTGATGAACAACGGGAGGACAGTGACAGTGATATCTGTTTCAAGGTTCCACTACCCCTACCATAATTTTTCCATTTAACCAGCAGTTGATACAACACCTAACTTGCAATATGTTCTGTACATACTATTATATATAATACAGTACTATTATTTTTATAACTACAAATTTATCAAAGAAAAACTGTATGCTCTGCATTTGTCTTAAAATCTTAGGGTTCCTACCTTTGATCAAACAACAATTACCCTATTTCCTTTGTTACTCTTCAGCCCGAGTCCATCCCAGCCACCCCTCTTCCTACCTTCCCTCCCATGACCTGAAAGTCCATACAAGACTCTAACCTCAATCTCCGCATAGCACTGGCCAGCAAATACATGGCCCCCATCTTCCACGATATACTGGATTAACTTCCCAGCAGAAGGTGAGCGCATCACTGAAGGGTCATTTTCCTTTTCAAACACACAGGTTTTATTGCCAATTGTAATTCGATATCTAGGAGATAATAGGAACAGCTAAGTCAATAAAGCACTAAAATTGAAAGAATGGTCAAATAATGCTCAACTTTAAATAAAACAAAGCATGATGAACTTATGCTACATGAAAAGAGATAGTCACTATATCTGTATATGCCAAACAGAGACTCAGGAACAAATCTTGGAACCCAGCCGATTTTGGCAGAAATTCCTCCAGATTTAATTGTTAAAATTTCGAATTCCAAAATTACGAGGCCACCCACAAGAATAAAAGCAACTGGTGCTGGCGCGGATGTGGCGAGAAAGGGACACTCCTTCACTGTTGGTGGGAATGCCGACTGATTCAGCCCTTTTGGAAAACAGTATGGACGATTCTCAAAAAAATTAGAAATTGAGCTCCCATTTGATCCAGCAATACCACTCCTGGGAATATATCCCACAGAGAAAAAAAGGATAGTCGAAGTGACATCTGCAATTGTTTGTTCATTGCAGGACTCTTTACAATAGCCAGAATCTGGAAAAAACCTGAGTGCCCGAGAACAGATGATTGGTTAAAGAAATTTTGGTACATTTACACAATGAAGTACTACGTAGCTGTTAGAAAAGACAAAGTCACGAAATTTACATACAAGTGGTACTACATGGAAAGTATCACGTTAAGCGAAATGACTCAGAAAGAAAGGGATAGACATAGAAAGATTGCATTCATCTGGGGAACATAAAGTAACAAAATAGGAGACTAACACCCAAGGATGGCCAAGATTAGTACCAGGAATTTTACTCCATGGCTTGGAAGCCAACCACACATGCTAAGGGAAAAGGGAGCTCAGATAGAGAAGGGAACACCAAATAAAGGTGTTGGGAGGACCTTCCCAGGATGGGAGAAGCATGCTGAAAGTAGACTATAGACCAAACATGATTGTCACCCATTGCCTCTTTTGCAAACCACAACACCCAATAAGAGAGAGAGAGAACAAAAGGGAATGCCCTGCCACAGAGGCAGGCTGGGATGGGGGGAACAGGGGTGGGAGGGATACTGGGATCAGTGGTGGTGGAAAATGGGCACTGGTGGAGGGATGGGTACTCGAACATTGTATAATTGAAACCCAAGCACAAAAATTTGTAAGTCTGTAACAGTACCTCATGATGTCTCACTAAAAAAACAAAAAAAAGAAAGAAATTCCTCTCTCTAAAATTTTGTTATCATTCCTGCCATTTCCACTGCTCTTTATATTTCATGATAAATCTTTGAGTGGAAACTGACAATGTAATTTTATATATTGTACATAGTGATACATAAAAAATAATTAACAAAACAAACAAACAAACAAACAAAACCAAAATTGTGAGGCCACTACTGCGGCCACACGACATCATGTTATTCATAACTAGCAATAGAAAACAAATTGTCTACTGCTGCCTTTGCAGCAGATCTGAGTGTTGGGGTAAAATCCCAAATAATAATGGTGGTTCTGGTGTCGAAATACTGAATGTAATCAAAGAAGAGAGAGAGTAAATGTGGAAATCATCTGCCCCACAGGTAGGGGGAGGGAGTGGGAGGGGGGATATAGTGGGGTTTTTGGTGGTGGAAAATGGCACTGGTGAAGGGACGGGTTCATTGTATGACCAAGACTTAAACCCGAAAGCTCTGTAACTGCTCTCACGGTGATTCAATAAATAAAATTATAAAAAAGGAAAAAATTATAAAAAATTTAAAAATTATAAAAAAAGTTCACATTTCTTGAACTTTAGGCAGTACTCTAAATACTTTACACTTGACTACCATAACACTGAAAGATTGGTGTTAAACATTCTAACGTTACATATGTTAAAGAAAAAACTATGGATCAGAGAGCTCATACAGGAGGGTGGCACTTGGTCTTGCAGGCAGCAAACCTTAATTCAATCCCCAACACTGCATATAGTCCCCAGAACACAACCAGAGTCCCTCATGAGGTCAGAGCCAAGAGTAGGCCCTGAACACTGCCAAGTATGGCCCAAATACTCAAAAGAAAGAAAGCACAGAAGAGCATCGAAGACTTGTTCTTCCTGTTGTTTTTCTGGTTTGGGGGCTATACCCAGCAGTAATCAACTCCTGGGCTCAGAACTCTAAAGGTCCTTGTGGCAGTGCTTAGTAGATCATATGGTGTAGTGGACTAAACCCATTGGTTCCTGCACATAATAAAAAGTGTCCCAATCTTTTTATCTATAATCCCAGTCCCTGAAAATATTACTTTTATTTACAAACATAATCTTTCAAAATTAAAAAAAGCATATATATATATATATATACACACACACACACATGTAACTTGTATATACATATAAAATTCTGCAAAAATGTCAGAAACTATTAATGGTGATTGCTGATAAAGGAACTTATTTTTCATTACTGACACAGTGGCAGAGGGAAATATTTTCATTGTAATTACATTTTGTACTCTTGAAATTTTTACCTGTATGTAGTATGTTGTTTTTTTCTTAATTTCACAAGGAAAGTTGAAAAATACCTAATCAGAGTAAGTGTAACACAATAACCAGCAAAAGGACTTTCAGCAGCCACTTACCGGTCCACTTCCTCCTTCATGTATGTAGTGTAGCTACTGCCATCGTAGGACAAAAGCAGTCCACCATCACTCAGGCGATGCACATCGACCTCCACGCAGGAGCCATTCATGATCACCACATAGGAGTTGGGGGACTGACGGGTCACCTGTGGGGAATAAAAGCCAGAAGAGGCAAGTCAGGGTGTCATCTCTATGTCGAGGCGCAGTCATCCAGACGCAAGCAAACAGGGTGACCCGAGGGGCTTCCCCTGCTCTGTTTTCTATCTCTCATCTGTATGCTGCATTTGCGAAGATAGGAATAACTGAAACACTTTCACAGAAGCATCATGCAGTTTCTCTCACACCCATCCAAAACCACGCCTCCCCACTCCCCTTCTCTTGCCCTTAGGCACACAAGCTAACAAACCTGGGGTTTAGCATACCTTAAGTACATATTTGACTCCCTCATAGATAAGTTCAACATCCACTGTATTCAGAAGTGTGTGAGCAGGAAGGACTTGACCTCTGGGAAAAACAACAGCATGAGATTTCCAAAAAGTTTAAGATTTTGCAAAAGAACCAATAGCAAGTACAACTCAAAGACTATTGATTATAATGTATCCTAGGATATCACAATGGACTGATACACAAGTTATGAGAAACAAATTGTGGAATATATTGCAGTCATTAAAAAAGAAGGATTAAGGGGAGCCAAGGCTTGTTTGTCTACTTTCCAAGCAGACGTTGAAAGTTCTATCCCTTGTACAGGCTCCATATGCACAAAGGGTGATCCAGTGGCACTGTCATTTAGGATCCCCGGCACCAAAACATCACAATTAAAGTGTTAACTTCCAGCAAGAAATGCAACTAAAATGTGTACAAGCACCACAACTTGGGAGTGCTACCTCTGATGAGAATGTGTGGAAACGTTAGACCAAGTGTGCAAGCCACAGAGAGCATCATAACCAAATGAATGCAACCCCTGATCACCACAAAAGGGAATAATTTTATTTTGTTTTGTTTTTGGGGCCACATCTGACAGTGCTCAGGGGCTGATGACTGGCTCTCTTTGGGGCTCGTGGACCACATGGGGTGCCAGACTGGCTGCATACAAGGAAGCACTGTACTGCTGGACAATTGCTCAAACTCCACATGGAACATTTTAAATGAATATAAAATCCTTTTTGTAATAATCTGAAACACTCTCAATTACACTGTTCAGTGAAAATAGGGAAAGAAATCATATCAAACACTTATGACATACTACCATTTGAGTTTTTAAAACATAAACTATGTGGGACTAGAGTGATAGTACAGCAGGTAGTACACCTGCCTTATATATGGCTCACCTGGATACAAACCCCAGCATCCCATATGGTCCCTTCCAGAAGTGATCCCAGAGTACACAGCCAGAAGTTAGCCCTGAGCATTGCCGAATGTCACTATCACTGTCACTGTCACCCCACTGTTCATCGATTTGCTCGAGTGGGCCCAGTAATGTCTCCATTGAAGACTTTGTTGTTACTGTGTTTGGCATATCTGAATACATCACGGGTAGCTTGCCAGGCTCTGCCGTGCAGGCGAGATACTCTCGGTAGCTTGCCGGGCTCTCCGAGAGGGGCAGAGGAATCGAACTCAGGTCGGCCATGTTGGCTGCGTGCAAGACAAAGGCCCTACCGCTGTGCTATCGCTCCAGCCCGCAATGCCGAATGTAATACCCAATAAAACAAAAAGTCACAGTCACGGTCACGGTCCTCCCGTTGTTCATCGATTTCCTCGAGTGGGCCCAGTAAGGTCTCCATCGTGAGACTTGTTGTTACTGTGTTTGGCATATTGAATACGTCACAGGTAGCTTGCCAGGCTTTGCCGTGTGGGCGAGATACTCTCGGTAGCTTGCCGGGCTCTCCGAGAGGGGTGGAGGAATTGAACCTGGCTCGGCCGGGCAAGCTGCGCACAAGGCAAACACCCTCATTTCTTAAAAAAAAAAAAATAAAGGGTGTGAAGGGGAAAATATTACACTTATATACTTACTGAGATTACAAAATGTCTGTAAAGCTGAAGAACAAACTGGTAAAAATGCGCCAACTATGGGGAAGAATATGGTGTGGCTAGGAATGGGGATAAAAGGGTTTTATGACATACCTTTTTTGTGTCTTTCAAAGTTTGAATTATGTGAGTATATCATCTATTTTTAAAAATAAATCAAGCCTATATATATATATATATATATATATATATATATATAATGAGAGCAATATCCAAGGTCAAGGTAAAAAGGACCAGGAGAACAGGTCAACTGTTGGAAGCTTGCCACAGTGTGTGTGGGATGAAGGACACAGGTAAAGGGGTATATCAGATAACCTTTCATTATCTGTGTATCTCTCTCTCTCTAGATAGACAGATACATATATAAAGAGGAGAAAAGTGCCTGCCACAGTGACAGGCAGTAGGTGGGGGTGGTGGGGAGGAAGCATAGGTGGTGAGCAATAGTACACTGGTGAAGGGATGAGTGTTGGAACATTATATGACTAAAACCCAATAATAAATAACTTTGCAAATGTGTATATCCACTCTGATTCAATTTAAAAAAACAGTAAGTGGAAAATAAATAAACAGAATCAAGCCTTAGTACAATCAACTCGCACTACTTCTACTGGGACTCCAACAAGGTTTTAAAACAAACTTTTATTTAGAGTCTTTACTGTTAGTAAGGGAAACATTACTGGAAAGACTTGATAATAATAGAGTGACAAGTTAATAATAACTGGCTGGCTGGGCAGAGATTTATATGTTATCTGCACTATCCTTATATCTCTATGTAAGTGTGAAATTATTTCAAATACAAGTTTTTTAAATCAAAGGCAGGAGAAACTTGTCAAGGCAATTACACACCCGGCACATTTCTGCATCAGTAGGAATACCATCCAACCCAGTTACAGACTGCATGCTGGAGAACAGAAACAGGTAAGACAGAACTGGTAGAAAGGGACCAAAGTGTATATGGAGCTGAAAGTCGCAGTGAGGGATTTAGGTCTAATACAAAAGGAAAATGAGAGCTGCTAAAGGTTTTAGTGCATGAGTGCAACATAGTGAAAGATTCTTATCATAAGACTAGAAAAAAAATGAAATCGCAGTTCAATTTAAAAAATTTTTTTTTCTTTTCTTCTTTTCAGACATCTTGAAAGGGAACTAAACTGGTATAAGTCTAACAACACAGACGGAAATAAAGACCTTGTGATTAAAGTGCTTTCGAATGTTTAGCCTCAGAGCTCATTCTGGGACTCAAAGACAGAGCTTAGGCTCCAGGACCAGTGTCAGAAATTAGCTCAGTCCCACAGAGTATTATTTAATGGCTCATGAGGTCACCTTGAATGACAGTCCCAATTATTAATTCCTGGAAGGTGCTGCCAGTAACATATAAAATATTCAGAGTTCAATGTGTAGAGAAAAATCCCAATTTTCATCCCTAAGTTATGGGGAGAGTTGATGTTTGTATAGGCAGAGTATTTACTTGTTTTAGATTCCAGTTCTCTTTTTTCCTTTTTCTTTTTAGAAAAAAAGCAATCTACTCTGTGACGTAAGCTATTTGTAGTGAGAATCCAACATAATTTGCCCTAAATTCCTTATTTTGCCCTACATATCCTCTCTAACCTGCACCCATAGTCAATAAATAACAGGTGCCAATAAGCTGCCAAGAACAGAGAGAAGAATAAAAGGATCTCTGAACTTCAGTTCCATCTGTGTGCAAAGCTTACCTTTCTAAGGAATGAAGGAAGTTAGAGATGCTGTTCCGCAGGCTCACATCGGCCACATGGAGAGCCCCACAGACAACTCCCAACATCGTGTCAGGTCGCTCTGCCTGCAAGAAGAACAAGACAATAGCAAACTGAAAACAGAGATACTGTGTGCCAGAGTTCCTCCATTTCTTTTGCTCCTCTTTTTGTTTTGGAACCACACCTAGTGGTGCTTGGCTCTATACTGGGGCTTGCTCCTGGCAGCGCTCAGTGGAGGGAGCCCAATATACTCCGGTAGTGGATATAGTGCAACAGCACCAGAGCCTTGACCATGAATATAAATACAACTGCACAATATTACAATTAAAAAACACTGATTGAAAAAGATAAATATCAGTTTGGATATCAGGCTGAAATCAGGAGGAAAAATAAAAGATCAGCTCAAAGACAATATATTTGTCAGACATACACTAAAATGAATGAAGATTCAGTTATTGAAAATCTCAAAGAAAAGTGACACATAATCAAAATTTGAACCTTCATATAATTCAAATAGACCAAATAATTGTGGCGAGACCTTGGGTAAGGGCCTGAGAGACAGCTCAAAGGCTAGTGCACACACTTCATATCCAGGAGGCCCAGGTTCGATCCCCATCATGGGACGGTCCTACAGGCACCACAGGTAGCAACCCTCAAGTGCCACAGAGGTTTAGCCCAAAGGCAAAAAACCAAAATAATCTTAGCTAATTCAGAAAAGCCTGGCTATTCTGGAGCAAGGAGTAACTTAGCTTATTTAAATGAGACTCCCTTTGAGCTGGGGAAATGACTCAAAGGACAGGCATGCATGCTTTGTATGCAGGAGTCCTAGGTTAGATCCCTAGAACCAGACAGTCTCATACCACTGGGAGCAACCTTTAAGCACCACTTCAGGAGTATTCCCTGAGCACTGTAGGGCAGGACCCCCAAAAAACCACTAAATAAGTAGAAACTCCTCTTCTTAGCATTTATTAGAGATAAAAATTTGTGACTTTGACCAAATTTAACAAATGATGAAAGACAGAGTATTTTAATTCCTGTATGTCATTTTTTCAAACATAAACCAAGAAGCAATGTTAGGACATAAAATATAAGTCTGTAACAATGGGTACAAGAATTCTTTTTTTATTTTTATTAGTAAAACACCATGAGGTACAGTTGTAGACTTACAAATTTTTGTGCTTGGGTTTCAATTATACAGTGTTCGAGTACCCATCCCTCCACCAGTGCCCATTTTCCACCACCACTGATCCCAGTATCCCTCCCACCCCTGCTCCCCCCATCCCAGCCTGCCTCTGTGGCAGGGCATTCCCGTTTGTTCTCTCTCTCCGGGTACAAGAATTCTTAGATGCTAAAATTATAATGACTCATAAATTTATCTAGTGACATGAACTGATCACAACATAAGACCATAAATATCCCAGACAAGAGCAATAATACAGGGATTAAGACACCTGACGGTTTACATCACATGGAGTCACCATCAGGTATGACCACAAAAAAAACAAAGCCAAAAAACAGTCTCAGAAACTGTTTTTACAAACGGAGAAATACACACCTGTACTTTTTCAGCTATCAGTCTGTCCAGCCAGCCAGTGTCAATTCTATTCAACTGAAAGCTTTCTGTCTCTAACAATTTGATCAGGTATTCAACTGTCGTTCGAAAATCACCCCTAATTGACAGTTCCTTCAACGCCACCACCATGTTTCTGGGAGAAGAATGGAAACAGATCTGTTTCAGCAAAAACTGTTTGAGTGTTTCACAATCATTTTAAAGAATCATTCCCATCCTTTGAAGTCTCAGGAGGGAGAAGAGACACATAGTTCCAAGAAAAAAAGAGGATGTGAGTGTAAGTGTGCTCATTCTCATCCCTTCCAGAGAGAAGAACTCACAAGAGCTCAATAAGGCTGACTGGTATTACCGTAAGAGCAGCAGCAAACCACTTATGTACAAAGTACAAACCAAATAATGTGCAAACCAACCTTAGCTTTCACTTACGAGATTTCCACCATCCCATTTCTTTATTGCTGATTAACTAGAATTAGTCCACAGTTCTTCATTCTCTAAAATCTACTAAACACTTAGATGGTCAGAGACATACTACAGGAGATAAGGCACTTGCCTTGCATTCATCTAATCTTAGTTTACTTCTGAGGACTCTTATAGTCCCCTGACAATTGCTGGAAGTAACTCCTGAGCATAGAGGAAAGGATTAACCCCTGAACACTGCTAGCTGTTACTCAAAACCTTCCCTCCCAACAAATAAATACATTCAATAAAATAATCTTAGGCATACTATTCAAACAATTCTGACAGATGCTACTACTTTAAAGGTTTCTATACAATGAGGCCACTAGATGGGTATAGTCAGTATTAGCCTAACACTATATGTATAGGCATGTGAATGTTTTGGTTTGGGGGATACACTCCCAGCAGTGCTTGGGCTGAATGTTTGAGGATGAATAGAGACAGGGATCAAACCCAGTCACTTACCTTGACCACTTGAGTCACACCCCCAATATCAGAGAGCGTTTTTTTCTTTGTTTTGAGGCCACACCTAGTAGAACTTTAGAATAAAAGTATCTTCCTAAGGTCTCATAAAGATTATGGAATCTGACATGAGATTAAAGCATAGCTGGGGGTGGGGGGTAAGTAACAGTATATCGGGTAAGGCACTCCTTGCACATGACTGACTTGGGTTTTATCCCTGGCACCCCATCTGCCTTAGCCCCAAGCCTGCCGAGAATGATCCCTGGGCAGCACAAAGCCAGAGTGTGGCCCCCAATAATAAAAATGAAACAAAAAAGCAAAGCTCAAGAGCCAGGAAAATGGTTTCAAGGCTGGAGCTTTGCATGCTGAAGCCATAGATTAGAAACCTGGCACCATGTGGTCTTTTAGAATTACCAGGTTCTGGAAGACCCCACCAGAAAAAGCAGATAGAACCATGGCTCTGATAGGAGTATATTAGATACTTATTGGATATCAGCTTTGATGTCATGGGAAATATTCTCTCTATATATATCATTGTTCCAAAAGTGGGTGATTTCCAGCAGGGGTATGGGGACATGTGCTGGAATGGTCCAGGGGGGATTGGAGTAGTAGTCCCCAAATGGGGGGATCACTTTCTATTTGTCTGCTTAAAGGCAAATTTCCAGGAGGGATGTTGAATGCTGTTTTTCATGAAAAACAGGCAATAGGCCAAATTAGTTTTGGAACCTCTGCTCTAGACTAATAAGGCCTGGCCGTATGTCCCAATAACACCCAAAGTAATCCTATTTTCAAAATACTTAGTAAATTTCATTTAATTGCTTATTTGCCTCTCTTCCTCTGGTTTTGAGATCCAAAGGAACAGAGATCCCATTTTGGCCGTCGATGTATTACTACAATCAGTACAGGATACTCATGCAGCAAATTTTTATTGAATGGAGTGTCTAAATGAATGAACAGAGGGAATAGCAAGAATAAGGGGCAGAAGAGAGGTAGAGAGAGATTGTGTTCAGGTAATGTGATGACTGAAACAGCAGGAATGAAGTCAGGAATGGCAAATTCCTTCATATAATAAACATTTAGAGAATGTTTACTATATTCAGGGGAGCAGGAAATAACAATAACTGCTTAATATGTTAGAGGTCAATCTAGTTAGCTTTATATTACAGAGAAATGTACATAGCAGATCCTGAAGGAACAAGGTTTCTGGGCCAGGTCATACCCTGTAGAAAATGCTTGGTGATCTATTTAATCAGGACTGTAACCCTTGAGACAGACCAGCCTGAGAATGTCAATGAGGCAACTGAAGGGGACTATGTGGACAAGAGAATTCATGTTTCCTCTGAAGCAGTACACAAAGCTTCAATTAATTTTTGCCAAGTGGAATTTAAGAGCCAGGTTTTATATTCCACTTCTTAAGGAAGAAATACATATATTTCTTTCAAGTTCTTGATTTTCTAAAGCTAGCAACTAAAAAAAGAATAATAATACACTAAAAGCCAATCAAAATACACTTATGGTTGAGGGTGGTCACAAAGCACCAATTTACACGATCAAATGAAAGTCTGATTCTTCACCCTGCAAGATAATGACCATGGAAGAGTTTCAAAAGGGAACTCTGGGCCCAAGTGACAGTGCAGTGGGTAAGGCACTTGCTTGTATGCAGCAGACACAGGTTCAATCCCCAGCACCCTATATAATCCTCAGAGCACCATTAGATGTGATTCCTGAGTGGAGAGCCAGGAGTAACTCTGGAGCATTGCCAGGTGTGGCTCAAAAACAAAACAAGGCAACTCTAAAGGATAGAGAGAAGCTTGCCTTGTTTTCTGGAAACCTTGGTTGAATCCCCAGCACTACATATGGTACCTCAGCACTTCCTTGGTCCACACCTGAACACAGAGCCAGGAATAGCTTCAAAGCACCACTCAATTTGGTTGCAAAACCCACAAATCAAAACAAAATAAAAAAGACAACTCTGTACCAGATAGTTTTTCCTGGTAGCATCACTTTAAGAAAAATTCCACTTATAGTTTTAAACATATGGGGAAAATTTGAGATGGTAAAACAGAGAGAGAGATGTCTCTACTTCTCAATAGATTTTTAAAAGAACATATTTTTTAAGTGCTTATTTCTGTGAAGTTTATATGCATATTTCAAAGACTAAGGATTTGGAATTAAATGCCTCGTAAAGGAAATAGACTCAGTAGAAAGGTAAGGGGATGTGCATGATAGCCCTACCAGTGACAGTACTGAAAACCACAGTGCTTCAAAAAAGGGGAAAGGTGGGAAGGAAAAAAAGAAAACTACCTGCCATAGAGGCAGGATGGAGAGCGGGAGGGAAATTGGGGATACTAGTGGAGAAAAGCAGACATTGGTGAAGAGACCGGTGTTGGATCATTGTATGCCTAAAACTTAATCATGAATAACTTTGTAATTCATGGTGATTCAATTAAAACATTTTTTTTAAAGGTAGAAAGAATTAACCCAATTTTGGATTCTGAAACATCTTAACTATCAAGCCGCCTGGAGCCTTATCTTTTAGGCATGTGAAACTGCTGCTAGCTGAATATTTAATTTACAAAATTTAATAAAATGGTAACAAATACACTTAAGAAATACAAGTAGTAGGTGTGTATAAGCACATCAATGTCTCATATAAGCAATGTGTATAGCTACTCCCTCATTCTTTTCAGATGAAAAGTAGAAGCAGTTTCATTTCATTATTTCAGATGACTATGTGACATTTATAACTATAAATCTATTGGGGAGGGTGGTTTCTGGCCCTCACCTGGACGTGCTCAGGGCTTACTCCTGGCTCGGTGATCAGAAATCACTGCTGGTAATGTTTGTGGGACTCTGGGACCATAAGCTGTGCCAGGGAGTTAACCAAGGTAAGCAGAATGCAAGACAAAAGCCTTAACCCATGTACTACCTCTCTATTTTGATGACAAATAACACTTTTTTCTATGATATTAGGATGGCAAGTTGCTCATCAAGAATTCACCTTCCTGTAACAATAATGTTCCTTCTATGGAAAATGTTGTCTTTAAAGCTACCAATTTTGTAAGTTCATCAAAAATACTTAACAACATTTTTAAAAAGACACAAACAAAAAAATCTGCCAAATAAAAAACCAGAATAGAAAACATGTTAAAGTCAACAGAGGCTGGGGAGATAGCTCAGAAAAACTGTGCACAAGTTTTGTATGCTAGAGGCCCAGGGAACCCTGGCACAAAGTACCATCAGGAGCGACCCTGAGCTCTATGCTGACAGTAGCCCTGGCGCAGCACTGAGCATGGCCCAAAGGCAAAAGTAGAACATAAAACAAAATGTAAACTGTTGTCCAATGCTATTATACTCACGAAATTGCTTCTTCTCTGTTTTCTCCCCAGGAAAAGCAGTGCCCAAATTGGGAATCTGCAAATTCATGAAGTCCCCCTGCAGCAGCAACACTGAAATAACCCCAAACGTTCTTGTTGCTGCGGAAATTCAGCTCCTGAACTGTTCCTGAGCTTGGCTTAAAACCCTGTTAAAAAATAAAGAGTATGAAAATCAAAAGTGTATTTTTAAGGAAGAGTGCGTTCAGAAATTCATTGCTTAGGCTTTGTATTAAACACACACAAAAGCAGAAATTACACACACACACACACACACACACACACACACACACACAAGGCTTGAGTCAATATCCAGTACTATAGACCCACTGAAAACTAGTAGTTACTGAAGTACAATTAACTGGCCAATGGCAAAGATCAGTTATTGGTCTGGTTGTCCTGAAATCTCTATAAATTTCCATCTCCAGAGGAAGTCACAAGATATTTCAAACTGCCCTCAAATAGGATTTCCCCCACTTTCCTCTCACAGGTTATTCCAGGAGAACCCTAGGGGAGTGGTGGCGAGGGGGGAAGGGGGAAGCCTAGTGCTCCCACATATAACGTATATGTTCCAGCCCTTTTACTTATCTGTCATCTTCTTTGTCTCCCTTGATAAAGTTCATCTTCTTGATAAAGTTCACAAAGCAAACAAGAAAGTAAGTCTTTCAAGGGGCCCAAGCAATAGTACAGTGGGTACAGCACATGGGGCATTTGCCTTGCACGCAGCCAACCCAGGTTCAATACCTGGCATCCATACAATGCCCTGAGCATCACCAGGAGTATATTCTTGAGTACATAGACAATATTAACCCTTGAGCACCACCATGTGTGGTCCCCCCCCCCCAAAAAAAAAAAGAAAAAGAAAGAGGAAAAGGGAAAGGAAAAGGAAAAGGAAAGGAAAGGGTCTTTTAACTTTTAAGTGATGGGATTACCTCATCTGGATTTTCACTAGTGATCCGAGCAGCAATAACATGGCCCCGTGGGCAAGGAACATGAGCAGAATTTTCAAAATCAATGGGTGCATCACCCCAGGGAGATACACCATACATCATACGTATATCCTTGATTCTGTATAGAGGGATCCCCATGGCAATCTGAAAGGGAAAAAAATACATCATTTTCTAGCTACATTTTTTAAAACATGAAGGCCGTTAGATTACCTATAAAAAATTTCACTATATAAGCCACCACATAAACCATATTTTACAGCCAATATTATATGATTGGGCTGGAGCGATAGCACAGCAGGTAGGGCATTTGCCTTGCAAGCGGCCAACATGGCTGACCCGAGTTCGATTCCTCCACCCCTCTCGGAGAGCACGGCAAGCTACCCAGAGTATCTCGCCCACACAGCAAAGCCTGGCAAGCTACCCGTGACGTATTCAATATGACAAACACAGTAAAAACAAGTCTCACAATGGAGATGATACTGGGCCCGCTTGAGCAAATCGATGAACAATGGGAGGACAGTGACAGTGATTATATAATTATTCAAAGAGTAACTCCAAGTTACTTGAAACACAATGTCACCATTGATGTACTATATCCAAAAAGTGTCTCATTGCAATACTAATGATTTTTGCTTCCATTATCATTTTTCCATTTCTTTACTTTTTGGTTAAAAAAAAATCAAGGAAATAATCTATGTTAATGGTTATCCTGAGGGCTGGAGCGATAGCACAGCGGGTAGGGCGTTCGCCTTACACGCGGCCAACATGGCCGACCCGAGTTCGATTCCTCCACCCCTCTCGGAGAGCCCGGCAAGCTACCGAGAGTATTCGATATGCCAGACACAGTAACAACAAAGTCTCCAATGGAGACGTTACTGGGCCCGCTCGAGCAAATGGTTATCCTGAAAGGTCAGATAGCTGGACAGTCTTACCTGTCCATATTCATCTCCTCTGCTCCCACAAATCACCAGTGGAAGTACACAATCACCTAACTCTAACCAGAGCTCCGAAAGGATTCACAGTGTGTCCAAAGAACATGTTTGAAATAATTTAAAATCTAATTTTTAGCAATTAGTGCTTTCCCTTAACATCTGTTTCTAGGATAAATGGAGAAAATATTCACGATAAATATTATAAAAGTGTAATGCCACAGTCCTACCAGAGAAATGGCCAAAAAATCTAAACCACCACTCTTATGGTGGAACTATTTCAACACTGACTAGTAAAGGGAATGGAAGACAATTACATAATTGTCAAGTGTGCTGCTATTTTAAGGTACTGGGGCTTCATCCAACCCAGGATCTCCCCACTGATGCTATAGTTTATAATAAACTGATGAAGCTTTTAGTAAACGACACTATCTTTAGTTCTCTTTTTCAAAAATATCATAGTTCACAATTAAATTGTTTAGTTAAACACAATATTCCTAGGTTTGAATGACATATGGAAAACTAACCCACATATCATAAACCACACAAGCGTGAGGTGAACATTAGCTTAGACTCAGATAGGAGGTACTTTTCTCTTATCAGACCCTGGTTAATCCAGTTTTTCTACTTCTATGACATTCCAGACTTCCCCAACCAACCCACTGAGCCAAGGTTAAGGTGACTCACCTGGAGCTGCGCTGCAGGGAGATTGACATCAGCTACCATCTCTGTACAAGGGTGCTCCACCTGTAGCCGGGGGTTCAGTTCCAGGAAGTAGAAGCTGCCATCTTGGCTATAGAGGTATTCCACAGTTCCAGCACTCACATAACCAACCATTTTGGCAAGTTTCACCGCACACTCAATGGAGAAAGATGCAAACATAAGTAATCTTGTACTGTTGGTGGCTGAGTATCTATAGATACTAACTCAGCTATCAAGTGCCATAAAACACTTTCAGTCAACTGAGAACAAATTTTTTCTGATAATTATACAATATCCTTTGATGGTTAAACTCAATAATTCAAAGTTAAGGGAAAGAGTCATTTTCATGTGACATGAAGGCAACCTCATACTATCAGCCCAAGTATAGGAAAAAACAAAACCACTGTGATACACTCATAGTTGTGCCCTAGCTTCCAGTATTCTTATCTAAAATATTAGATTTTCCAAACTCTAATATAGCTAGTGATTAAGTTTTGAGTAATGTGATACAGCATTGTTGGGTGATATGCAAAATCCATGACTCATGTTTGAAAATAAGCTTATTTTCTACCCAGATTCCCACTTTTCTTTTCTTTTTTTTATTTCTGAGTCACACCTGGCAATGCTCAGGGATTACTCCTGGCTCTGCACTCAGGAATTACTCCTGGCAGTGCTCGGGGGACCACATGGGATGTCGGGGATTGAACCTGGGTCGGCCGTGTGCAAGGCAAATGCCCTACCCGCTAACCTCCAGCCCCCAGGTTTTTCCCTTCGTATGGACAGGAGGAACATGGTCATGAAGGTACAAATCATATTCAAACAGGCAAGTGAGAACACACTAAGATTACCACAAAAAGAACCTGAATCCCAAAATGGGCAGACGGAGTAAAACTGTCCTACTAGTCACCTTAGATTATGTGGAGGAAAAAAAACAATCTTTGGCATCAAGAGAAATAGTACAAGGGATTAAGGTGCTTGCCTACATATCAATCTGGGTTCAATCATTGGAACTATGTATGGTCCCCCGAGCACTGCTAGCAGTGATCTCAGGGCATGGAGCCCGGAGTTAAGTCCTGAGAACTGCCAGGTACAACCCAAAACCTGAAAATATTAACATAATAAATTTCTCCCTTACTTGGACTGTGTCTCTTTTAGATAGCCTACACACTTACCTAAACAGAAATTATCAAATTTGGGCAGAAAGCTGTTTCAGCTGCATATCTGGCTATCCAGTTAGTGACTACATTTCCTAACATTTCCTAACAGTCCTTGCTGCTTGATAAGTGTGACTGTGTACCTGAAATTTGTCCAATGGAATGTGAGCAGAGGTTATATATGTAAATTCTAAAACATATATATTTTAGAATAGGGTTGGAGTTTGGGCTATGCCCAGCTCTGTGGTTGGGGGTTGCTCCCAAAGGTGATCAGGGTACAACGTGGTGCTGGGAATGGGAATTAATCACGGTCAGTGACATGTGCAAACCCCTATCCTGTCTGTCTAGTTCCGTGGATGATATTTTTATACACTTCGACTGTATTTTCTCTGTCTCCCTGCTACAGAACACAACATACACAAAATTTTGTGAGATAACTTTGATCAGCAAGATGATGAGAATCACCCCAGTGAAAAAGTTGACAAACTGCTTTGGGGTAAAGGCCAATTAGTAACATTTCAAGTTTTGGGAGCCATGAACTATCCCATGGTATTATCTGAAGTCACTGACCTATACCTCTGACCTCTCTGTCATATTTACTCAACATGCCAGGCCACGCAGGGATAAAGCAGCCAAAGAGTATATATTTTTAAGAATTAGTACAACTATGTGCCTGTAAAAATTTTTAAAATCAGTTGGTAGATTGGACTTGGCCTGTGACTATAGTTGTCAACTCCTGTCCTAGAAAACGGTACAGCAATAGACCTGGCTCCTCAGTACCAGTTCATCTCCAAACTATAATTAGAAAGGGAAATAAAACTTACACATACTTATATCAGTGACTTTTTTATTTTGATGGCTCTTTAGATTTTATGTTTTGTGGGGTGTTTTTTCCTTTTTCTTTTATGGTGGGAGGTGTCTGGACCATACAGGAGGTGCTACCCCTGGATCTGTGGTCAAGGATCACTTCTGGCAGTGCTCAGGGTATGCTATGCAGTTTCAGGGACTGAACCTGGGAGGGCCATATGCAAACAAAAACCTTAACCCTTGCACTCTTGGGTTAAGACTCTATCTCTATTATAGCAATCTGAGGGCTTCTTAAGGGCTGAGAAGATAGTGCAGGTTGGAGGCATAAGTCCTGTATACACAAGGATTCAAGCTCTATTCTGGCACTGCATGGCCTCCCCAAGTATCTGGCAGCTCTGCAAGCACCACTGAGCAAACACTACAATAGCTCTGTTGGCCCTTAGACTTTCTGAGTGCTAGCTTTGAACTACTGGCACAGCTGGTAAAGTAACCTCAGATGTGGCCCCCTCGCATCCAGAAGACAACCGGGAAGAAAACAAGGATATCTCAATAGATACACAAAGGAATTAAGCTTCCAACACAAACAATATAGTCTGTATGGAATTTAGAAAACAAAGACTGAAAATGTATTTCAAAATTGATGAAGAAATTCACAAATCCAGAAAAGTATGTTCAGATCCCTGAAACAACTATTTTCAAGGAAACCTTTAACATTGCTAACAGATTCTCTTCTGTACAAAAATAGAAAATAGAATATATAAACTTAAAGAGCCTAGAGCATCTTTCAAGAGAGAATGAATGGATTTTCAATAATTCACCTAAAGAATCACTGATAATCAAGCTAGAAAGTAGAACTGTCTACTTATCACCAGCATGTTTTAAAAAACCAAATAGAAATATTAAAAATAAAACATGCGCTGGAGAGATAGTGTAGTGTGACCCACACACAGCCAACCTAGGTTTGATAACTAGCACCTCAGATGGTCCTATGAGCCTCTCGCCAAAAGTATTCCTAAGCACAGAGCCAAGAGTGATACCTGCCCTGCCGGAAAAAAAAATAAAGGCCAAAATAAATAAACAAACAGGGGATTAGGGAGAAAGTTCAAGGAGCATTTGCTCTACATGCTAGAGCCTTAAGTTTGGTGGCCAACACTGCATATGTCCATTACAGCCACCAAACATGACTGGGAATAGCACTGAGCACTACCACCAGGTAAGGCCCCCAAACAACAAACAATACAAAACAAAAAATCAGAAAACATTTTTCTTTTATCCCTATTCAAAATAGTGCAGATGTTTTCCAAACCTGTTAGTTATTTTAAGAGCTTAAAATGTTTATTGGTGGGTTAGGGAGACAATATGGGGGTTAGGGTACTTACTTTGCAAAAGCCCAATCCCCATTCAATCCCCAGCACGTGACTCCCCCTAGCATCAACTGATGTTTCTTCCCTGGCAGCCCCACCAAGCACTGCCAGGGTGGCCCTGTTGGTCACACCATGCAGGGCCTGCATAGTATCACATCCTGCAATGAACCACTGGACTGGCTGATTGAAAACTGCTGGGAGCGACACCAGGGTCCCTAGGCACTGGTCAGGAGGCCCCCCAAAATAAAAAAATAAAATATTCATTGGCAACACATCCAGAACAGTAAAATTATTACTTCTCTAGGGAAAAAAAAATACAATTTTATCAATTATCAAGAATCATTTCAGGGACCAGAGTGATAGTACAGTGGGTAAGGCGTTTACCATGCATGCACTTGACCCGTGTTCAATCCCTGGTGTCCCATATGATCCCCTGAGCCTACCAGGAGTGGTCCCTGAGTGCAGAGTCAGGAGTCAGACCTGAGTACTGCCAGGTATAGACCAAAAATTAAAAGAAAAAAACAAAACAAAACAGAATCATTCCTTAAAATCCAGCTATTCTTATTAGTATATGAATTGAATGAGCAACAGTTAATTCTCTGTAAGAAAACAGTAATTGTAGCATTTTTCATATACATACCTGTTCCATGTGTTCGAATACTGCTGGAGTAGCAATAGCAGCAGGTGCCTCTTCAATAATCTTCTGATGCCTCCGCTGTACTGAGCAATCACGACCAAACAAAGAGATGGCATTGCCATACTGATCTGCTAAGATCTGCACCTCCAGATGACGTGACTGTTTGGCCAATCTCATTACAAATATAGGTGATCCAGGGACTTCAGCTTGAACCTAGAACAGAGAGGAAATAAAATTAAAACAAATTATTAAGTGACATTTGTATCTCCTGATGAGCTGCTTTAATTCCAAAAGGCAGGCAGATGCCTACAGTGTCAAGGATCATATTAATCAGGAGAAATACAAGCGCAAATAAAATATAGCTCATGCCCTCCCTCTATTTTTAGGATACCACATTCTTAATTACACAACCAAAAGTAACTGGTAAAAAGTATGAACATCCAATATTTCAAGGTAAAGAACAAAATATTTTGAAAACACACACGCATCCCAGAAGAGGGTAAAACACTGCCATCAACTCCAGTCAAATATACAGCTTGCTCCCAGGGTTGGAGAAATAATACAGCAGATAATGTGCTTGCCTTTCACACAGCTCACCTGGGATGGATCCCCAGGCACCACTATGTTCCCCCAAGTCTCATGAGAAGTGATCCTTGAGGACAACCAGGTGTGGCCCAAAAAAACAAAAATTAGGACAATATATAACTTGCTCCAGACTAGGTGCTTTTCTGGTTCACCTGACATTAAATACAGTAATTACTATAGTCAAAGGACTTCTGTTTTGAAGCATATTAATACTGGATGCAGAACATGTTCTCTTCCTTTCTCTCCCTCCTGCCCACCCCTGTTTTTGGTCCACACCTAGCAGTGCTCAGAGGACCATATGGGATGCTGGGTATTGAACCCAGATTGACCATATGCAGAACAAACACCCTACCTACTGTACTATCACTTTAGCCCCATCCTTTCTCTTCAATAAGAGGAGTGAGATGGATGACTAATTCTAATAAACCTAGATGTGGCTCTTTCTACACCAATTTTGTAGGGCTCAAAGAATCTTTGACTCTGCATTCACTATAATCTTTTATCTTTTTTAGCCCAAGAAAAATTTTAGTCATTATATCTTCAAATATTGGTCCTACTCGTTCTGCCTTCATAGATAATCAGAGTACATAACATAGATCACCTTGCTGTATCCCATGTGTCATTATGTTCTATATTTTTTATGTTCTATTGTGCTACAGAATATATCACCTTAAAACTCAGTGGCTTATTTCGGATATGAACATTTATTTGTACATGATGCTGCACTTATCTGCTAGTTCTCTGGGTCTTGGTTGGGATTTATGTGCAGTCAAAAGATTTTTGTTTTCAGTTGTGAAGTATCTTAATATTGGATATAGAACTCTATAGCAGCAACTCTTTTCTTTCAAAACTTGGTGGCTGAATGGTACTGAGAGGTCTCACTTAAATTTCTGGTGACTTAAATTGATTGCAACAGTCCATCTCTACTAATTTCATCCTTCAGTAAGCTACATTGGGCTTCTTCAACAGTCTTCCAAGAATGAGGATAAAGCAATAAAGCTTTTTCAGGCTATACAGAATCATAGGAGGCCAATCTGGTTACATTCTAATGGTCTAGGCAAGACATAAGACCAGCTAAGATCAATGGAGTGGGAAAAGCAAAGCCTGCTCTTACAGGGAGGAAAGGCAAAGTCAAAATGTAAAAGAACATATACAACAAAAGAAGTTACTGTAGCCATCTCTGCAAACACTCCACTAGTTTCACCCTCTGGTCACAATAATTCATAGAACTCTCACATGCAAGACAGATTCATTCCTCCCAAGACCCCCAAAAATCTTATCCAATAATGACATTAGACTTGATGTCCATTCTCTCATGAGTCATATCCAGAAGCAAACGATGTCATATGGGTTCAATAATAACTCAGGTACAATTTCTTTTGATCCAAAGACCTGAGACCTGGGAACTAAAAAGACAAGTGCTCTCCCAGCACCCCAATATTTAATAACAAAATGGGGAGAGGTGAATGTAAAAGATATTCCTGTTCAAAGACAGGAAGATGGGAAGTCATCACTGGTCCATATCAATTCTGAAATCCAGATGGGTATATGTTGCCAGGTTCCGAAAATCCACGGGTATGTTTTAATTCCCATATTGTTCTTGTAGTTTCCTAATCCATGACTCCTCTCTGCTCCCAGCTCTATCCTCTGAGTTCCCATTTGTTCTGAGAAATCCATTTTCAGAAATGACCATCGACTGATTTTATTTTTGATAACTTCTCTGCCATGTGTTATTGGTCAAAAATAAATCACAAGATCAACCAAAATTAAAAAGGTGGGAAAAGAAACTATTTGATTGAGGGAGCGACAAAATCCTGTTGTAAATGGGCATGTATCTAGAGATGGAATGAGTTTTCCTGGTCCTTTTATTTATTTTTGTGTGAAAGAACAAGGTCTTCATGTACTGAGAAGCAGAAGACAAGTGGGCAGGGCAGGCCAGTCAGTGAAGATGCCCTGGAAGCAGGCACTGTCTTTCTGGTCCTTCTGCCAGATCTTGGCCTTCAAGGTATGCAGTTTCTAGCTCACCATGGGTGCCAGGGTAGGGTCCAGCTGCAGCCTTGGCAAAGTTAGCCTGGGCCTTCTGGGCATTCTGCACAGCTGTGTGAGCCTTGCCCCACTTGAATCAAGTGTTCATGTTGTCATTGGTGAGGATGGAAAAGCAGTGGTCCAGGGCTTTGTCCTCCTAGGCCACCAGCCTGCACTGACAATAGTTGAGCAGCAGCAGAGTGATCTACTAGTCCAGCTGGATCTAGCCCTGGGAGCCAGGCTGTTCCTTCATCTGTAGATTCTTGAGGCAGGTGATGGCATCACGGTACTTGGCAGCTGCTTCCTGCACGTGGCCCTCATGATACAGCTGGTTCCCCTCCTGGTGGAGCTGCATCTCCTTCACCTTCTTTTCCATCATGACTCAGGAGTCCTACTGGTATGTACTGGGGTTCTCCACCTTTAGCATTCTATATTGAGAACCAGAGGTTGGGGATGCTGCTGCAGGACACTCAGGTCTGCGTGACCCAGTAACATGCCATTGTGCAATCTGGGCCATACTGCAGCAGAGCCACTGACCCTCCATCAGGTCTTTGCCCACTACAATGCTGTGAAGACTCTTGGCCACCAGTGGGTAGGAAACCATGTGCTTGATGTCACAGTGGAAGTTGAAGATCTCCCTGAAACACATGGTGCACATGATGGTCTCCCACACAGACAGTCTGAACTTCTTGCTGATGAGAAGCTCCATGGATTGGCCCTGTGCCCAGCTATCATCCAGTACGGCAGCGTCCTTTGTCAATATGCAGCCTGGTAATGGAATGTGGCCTTGGTTCCATCCTGATAGTCAGGGAGGGCTCCTTGGCCCTCCTGTATCACATGCTTTTGGATCCCATTCTGGTGGAGTCTAGTGATGACAGCCACCATCCTCCTTCCTCGCCACTCTCTCCTGGTCACTTTTACATACCATCTCTCTCATGTGCCATTCTTTATTTTTCACTTTTTTTTGTCTTTTCAAGCTTTGGTATTTTCTTCTCACCTCCAATTCAATGACTAATTGATGAACCACATTTAGTATGTTATTAAACTCATCTATTCACTTCTCAATTTTAGTTATCACACTTTCAATTTTGAAATTTCCACTTATCTCTTCTGTAGTTTCCAGTTTTCTGTCAAGATTTCTAATTCTTTCTTTAATTTCCTGGAGTTTATTAATTAATAGATTTTTAAAGTCCTTCTTGTACAGATTTATTGAGTCTGGGGTATGACCCTCCCGTTGTTCATCGATTTGCTCGAGTGGGCCCAATAACGTCTCCATTGGAGATTTTGTTGTTACTGTGTTTGGCATATCGAATACATCACGGGTGGCTTGCCAGGCTCTTCCATGCGGGCGAGATATTCTCGGTAGCTTGCCGGGTTCTCCGAGAGGGGCGGAGGAATCAAACTCGGGTCGGCCATGTTGGCTGCATGCAAGGCAAACGCCCTACCGCTGTGCTATCACTCCAGCCCCAGATTTATTAAACTTCTATAAATCTATTTTTATACTGACTTAAATTTTTTCTTAATTTTCAACCATGTAATCTGATACGCCTACTTTTTTTAATTGCTTGATACTGCCTTTGCAATATGAATAAAAATAATTTAAGGTCTTGGATATTATCTTTCTGTAAAGAATATTTATATCTTTTTCCTACACATTGCTAGGTATATTAGCAATCACATAACACCTAGTTAGAATCAAGGGCTGAATATTTTGACACTGAGATTTAGTGTCTGTGAGGACTCGATCAGTTCTAGATCACCTTTTTGAGTGGGAAGGGGTCACACCAGGCAATGCTTCGGGGTTACTTCTGGCTCTGCACTAAGGAATTATTTCTGGCAGTGCACAAGGGACCCTCTATGAGGTGCTAGGTATTGAACCTGGGTCAGCCGCATGCAAGGCAAACACTCTACACACTGTACTGTCACTCAAGCCCCAGTTCTAGTTCATTCTTCACCCATAGCACCCTCCTCATTGAACACTAAAATTTAAGTTGGCCTGATTAGTCTTTTTTTAAAATTTATATCATAAAATTTAATTGCAAAGACCAATAAAATGCCCATCACTTTTTTTTTTTATGTAGGAGAACTGCTATTTATTCAGCCACTGATTAGCTGATTGAATTGGGCATGAACTCCACCTTACATTTTTTTTCCCATTTTTTATAATTTTATTTATTGGACCACTGTGAGAGCAGTTACAAAGCTTTCGGGTTTAAGACCCAGTCATACAATGAAACACCTACACCTTCACCAGTGCCCATTCTCCACTCCAATAAACCCCAGTATACCCCCGTCCCATACTCTACCCCTACCTGTGGGGCAGATGATTTCCACAACTACCTAATTTTTGGCCGTTTACTTTCTTGGTAAACTTTGCCCCAAGTTTTGGTGTCTGTCTGGTCAAAGGCACAGCAGCAATTTAGGGTATCTGGAAGCCTGAAGGCACCATCAGGCTCTGATGCACTCGCCTCACAGGTACAGAGTGACCTGCTGGCAGCACCATATCCCCAGGCCTGATTACTCTTTTGAGAACTACTGAAAAAGGCAAGAGTGATCCTCAAAGGGCTGGAGCACATGTTCTGCATGCAAGAAACCAGGTTTGAATCCTAGCACGGTAGGTCCCCTAGGCAACACTGGGACCCTAGTCAGCTGATCAACTAGTCCTTTTTTTGGGGGAGAGGAGGACCACACTTGGCAATGCTGTGGGGCAATATGTTATGCCAGGGACTGAACCCAGGTCAGCCACATGCAAGGCAAGGTCTCTACCCCACTGTACTGTTGTGCCAGCCCCAATCAACTGCTTTTTCTTAAACTATAAGATAACTCGATGTAAAAGCAGCTCAAACATCAGATCCACACCACAAGGTAAGAGCTAGCTGAGAAACTGAGTATTTCTACCTAACACAATAATTCTTTTTCAACTACCTGAGTAAAAACTTATATTGGACATAATAAACATTTTCCCAAAGCTTATTTAATAAACAGGTGGTGGCTAGAGAGAAAGACAATTAGTTAAAGACAAAACGAAACTGTACATATGCATATTAGAACAGTATTTTATGGACATCCAAATTAAAAAGCATTAATTTCAATTATCTACCTTTGATACATGCAACAGTTCACACAAACAAAACAAAACAAAAATGTCCACTCTACCTGTCTGAAGAGGTTAGGGAAGTCGTCTGCATTATTGACTTTCCTAATTCCCTTTCCTCCTCCTCCTTCTGAGGCCTTGATCATTACCGGATAACCCACTTCTTCTGCTGCCTTCAAGAAGAAAGGAAAAGTGAAAATTGGTATTAGCAAAGAAGAAGAAAACCGGTATTTTTATCCTTTTAGAATGTTGTCACTTGGTAGGTCTTTATGTAGTAAAACAGGATGATTCTGAAGACAAAACATTATGGTAAGAAAATAATAGAACATTATAATATTAAACTAAAGAAAACTGGCACTTTCATATGTTAAAGAAATAGTGAATATAGGGCCACATATGTGATTCAGTGACAGAAAACAGCCATTCATGTAGGAGATCCTATTTAAACAAATTTAAACAAACACACACACTTCTTTAGCTCATAGTCCTATCTCATCTGAACTTCCCTTAATTCGATTCTTTTCATGCTTACAAGCAGAATGATGGATTTAATCACTGGCAATAAAAGATGAAAGGAACAATCATAAATATTGAGATCCTGTGTTCAATGCTCAGCATAAAATACTATGTTCATATATGGCATGTATGCATTCATTTGAGCACATACGTAAGTGCAAAAAAAAAATACCTCATCTAGAATATAGACCAGTGGTGATTTATAAGTGGAAGATGAACATATGTTAACTTTCACTTTTTACTGTATACATGCCTGTTATTGAAATCTTATAGTATGCAGATACTAATTTATTGCCCATCACTTTTATTTAAAAATTAAAATAAGTGTTTTAATTATTGTAAATTGATAACTTGAATATAAATTCTCACAAAATATCAAACAAATCACTCTCATGTGCCAAGAAACTTCTGTAAAATACAAAAAGACAAGATATCGAAATATTAAAATTTGCTAGAAATGAACTTTTAACACATGTTGTTTTCAATATTTATAGCACTATATAATAATACGATATAATAATCAGGTGATGATCCTGAAATTTTTTGAGAAATACATGACATTCTATAAAATTGGGAGATAACAGATGTTTCTACCCATCTATTAACCAAATTTTAACAAGAAAATTTTAAATTCTCAAAATGCTTTTTTTGGCAAACCATTTCAGTCCTTTTTAGGGGAAGTTAGTGGGGAGAACTAAACCACACCCTGCAGTGCTTGGGGCACTCACTCTGGGCACTGGGCTCAGAGGAACCATATGCAGTGCTAGAGACAGACCCCGGTAAGCTGTGTGCAAGGCAAGCACTCTTCCCCATGATACCGTTCTTCCGATTCCCAGTCTTTTAAGGCATATACTATAACGATAGCAGAAACTTGTGTCACCACAAAAAGACCATTACAAGTTTTCATTTGTGTCAGTACATGAGAAATGAGAATCTTTAGCTCATAGTCCTATCTCATCTGAACTTCCCTTAATTCGATTCTTTTCATGCTTACAAGCAGAATGATGGATTTAATCACTGGCAATAAAAGATGAAAGGAACAATCATAAATATTGAGAAGACTGAAAAATAAGAGCATTTTGTATATCTGAAAATCACCCATGACTCTAGTGATGGCCATGGGTGAGATTTAGTGTCCGGAGTCAGGAGGGCCTAAACTCAATGCCCACTTTCCATTCTGGGGAGGTGAAATCCAGGCCCATACATGCTGCCCATAACCTCTGATCTTGACCCACCTTTTCTCCTGCAGGATGCCCAGAGTCCCTGTCCAAAAGATCACTTTTGGGACATGAAATGATTGATTAGGTCAAGAGTCAGGGATATGACTCAGTGGTAAAGCACTTACTTGTCCTGCATGTATAACAACCTGTTTTTCATTCACCCAGAGAGAAAAAAAAAAAAGAAAAGAATAACCAAAACAAGTCAGAAAGAAGGTGTCTAATGGGCCAGAGAGTTAGCACAGTAGGTAAGGCACTTGTGTAGCCACAGCTGACCTGGGTTTGATCACTGGCACCACAAAAGGTCCCCTAAGCAATGCCAGGAGTGACCCCTAGGCACAGCCAGATGTGAACCCAAAACAAATTTAAACACACACACACACAAAAGTGGCCTTCAAAAACTGGTATATTCCACTTGATCACCCAAAAAGGAGAGTGGGGGAAGAATTCCTGTCATTTACTTATCTATCCTCTCTCATATTTCCTAAATAAAACTATTCTACATCACTAAAATTAATGAAAATAAAAAATAAATGAAAAATATAGCACAGGTTATTCATTAAATATACATACATATTAGAATAATTTTAATGCCATGAAGAAAGACACTTATAGTAAAACTATAATTTAATTATCTTCATAACTATAATTATGGGGATTTATTAATAAAGGTTATCATAAATAAATAAATAAAAGACTGAAAGAAAATATATGATCAAGTTAATGGGATTTATCTCCAGATGCTAGAATTATATAGGTGGTTTTAGCATCGTATTTTTTAGTTTACTAAATTTTCTGGGCTTGAGCGATAGCACAGCGGTTCGATTTCTCCATCCCTCTCAGAGAGCCCAGCAAGCTACCAAGAGTATCCCAAGTATCCCGCCCACACGACAGAGCCTGGCAAGCTCCCCGGGACGTATTCGATATGCCAAAAACAGTTACAACGAGTCTCACAATGGAGACGTTACTGGTGTCTGGTCAAGCAAATCAATGAAGAGAAGGACAGTGCGACAGTGCAGTGTTACTAAATTTTCTACTAGAAAATTTTTATAATTATATACCCGGGGGCTGGGAGGGAAAGGTTTTTTTCTTTTTTTTTTTGGGGGGGGCCACACCTGGTGCTGCTCAAGGTTTATTTCTGGCTCTGTGGTCAAGGATCACTACTGGTGGGCTGAGGGAACTATATGAAGTCCTGGAGCTTGAACCTGTGTCTACTTCTTGCAAGGCCAGAGACCCTATGCATCTCTCTGGCCTGAAAAAAGAAATTTTAATTGATAAGCAATATACACCTTGTTCTTTAGAAAGGGGTCTTATTGTTCGCAATTATAACAAACAGAATAAAAGCATTTGCAATTAAATTAGAATTATTAATTCTTATTAAGGAGATTATAGGAGATTTTACATTTTAAACTCTTCTTTTATTTATTTTTGCATTTTGGGTGACACTTGGCGATGCACAGGGGTTACTCCTGGCTCTGCACTCAGGAATTACTCCTGGTAGTGCTCAGGGGACCATATGGGATGTTGGGGATCAAAACTGGGTTGGCATGTGCAAGCAAAAGCCCTAACCACTGTACTATCATTCCAGCCCCAGTTTTTTTTTTTTTTAAATGACTTGGAGGCCAGCCACACGTGCTAGGGGAAAAGGAAGCTCAGATAGAGAAGGGAGCACCAAATAAAGGGTGTTGGGAGGATCCTCCCAGGACGGGAGAAGCATGCAGAAAGTAGACTATAGACCAAACGTGATTGCCACTCAATGCCTCTCTTGCAAACCACAGAACCCAAAAGGAGAGAGAGAGAACAAAAGGGAATGACCTGCCACAGAGGCAGGGTGGGATGGGGGGTATGGGGGGTGGGAGGGATGCTGGGACCTGTGGTGGTAGAAAATGTGCACTGGTGGAGGGATGGGTACTTGATCATTGTATAAATGAAACCCAAGCACAAAAATTTGTAAGTCTATAACTGTACCTCACGTGTTTCACTAATAAAATTAATTAAGTAAGTAAATAAATGAAATAAATACAAACAACCAAAAGCAACTGAGAACTCAGCATTCCTCCTGAATTTATACCGGTAGTGTATTTTCTGAACAAGTCTCTTTCATTGTCTATCTGCAGTGAAAACTGAGACTTCCAATTAAATTAAGAAGTGATAAGAGGGGAGCAGATAAGGTTGGAAAAAAGGGTCTCCTGGGTCTTCGCTTTTTACAGGTTAAGTCTTCTGTTGTCTTCTACATTACATTTCATCCAATCTGGTGTAATACACCACCTGGTTTATCAATGTTACAGACTTTGAGTTGTCAAGCAGCCGCAAATGCGACCACGTACTTGGATGGACAATAATTAGAGGAATGCTTTCAGTCTTTCTTGGCCCCCCTTTTTCACTCTGCCCCAAAGGAAAAAAAAGTGAGTTATGACATTGGTCAGCTTGAAAGGAAGAAGTGAGCAAGCATAGCTTAGTCTCTTCTTGTGGGATCAGCCCACTGCACAGAACATATTCTCTTTGTCAGCTTGTAGGCATTAAATAAGCTGAACAGTAAAAGTATTGTCTCCAGAGAGGGAAGTCTGTGGTTACTCAGCACCTCCACAAACCAGTGACAGAATTGTTTAACTTGGGCATTCAAATATGATTGTTGCCACAGGCTTAATTTGATTCCTATCTGCTTGGCTTCTTAGTGCTAAACAAAGACACAAGAAAAAGTATGTTACTTATAGCACAACCCCTGGTCCACTTTCCCAACAAACACTGACAGATAAAGAAGGAGAGAAGAACCAATACTTCCTTAATGCTTTTTTGACAATCTAAAAAACAATCTTTCCAAAAGCTACGCAGGTAGGTGAGAAAGATAGGGCTGGATCCTCAGCAAAACATGGTTCCCTGAGTACCCTGAGTAGTGCTGTAGGTAAGAAACTTGTCTTGACAACATACGAGCATCACCAGAGGTGACACCTGAGCACAGAGCCAGGAGTAGCCCCTGAGCACTGTCAGGTGTGTCATCAAACCAAAAATAAATGATTTTCTCACTTTATAAACATGCATCCTTATCTTACAACTCTAATGCCACATGGGTATGTATCACACATACCAAGCTCCAAATCTCTATGTTTATGACTACAATTGGTCTGTTGAAAAGCATCACTCCCTAGAGATAGTGACCTACCTTCAGGCCATCATCCACATCCTTTACATAACCTTTTTCATAAAGCTCCTGGGGAACATTTAAGATACGTTTTGAAAAATCATTTTCTTGCCAGTCCACACGGAGACCTGAAATAGACAACAGTTATTTTAAAGACTTGGAGGGGAGGTGGTGGTGAGGGGGTGGCAGAGAAACAGTACACTAAGCAGAGTGCTATACAGTCAACCAATGTTTGATCCCCTGAGCACTGCCAGGAGTGATAACTGAGCAGAGAGTCAGGAGTATGTCCGGAACACAACTGGGTTTGGCACATTACTGTCACTGTCCTCCTGTTGTTCATCGATTTGCTTGAGCAGGCCCAGTAACATCTCCATTGTGACAATTGTTACTGTGTTTGGCATATAGAATACGTGATGGGTAACTTGCCAGGCTTTGCCGGGCAGGCGAGATACTCTTGGCAGCTTGCCAAGCTCTCCGAGCAGGGCGGAGGAATTGAACTCGGGTCAGCCATGTTGGCTGCTTGCAAGGCAAATGCCCTACCCGTTGTGCTATCGCTCCAGCCCGGGTTTGGCCCATAAACCAAAAATAAATAAATAAAAAATAAAAACAGTTATGGGGGGCTGGGAGAACTGGAGAGATAATACAGGGATTCAGGTTAGCTTGCATGCAACCAATCCATGTTTGATCCCTGGTATCCTATATGGCCCCCCAAACCCTGTCAAAAGTGATCCCTGTATACAGAGCCAGGAGTAAACTCTGAGCACAACTGGGTGTAACAAAAAACCCCATAGTCAATTAAAAAAAATAAAACAAAATAAAATAAAACAAAAGCAACTACTAGAACTTATTTTTTCTGTCAATTTTCTGTTACACATTCTTAAAACTGCTCTCTTATTTGTCGAAAATTGAGGTCAGAGAGACAAAAAAACAAAGGATGTCATAAAGCCTAATCAGTCTTTGGATTGATTAGGAAACTTGTATTCTTACACTGAAAAAAGTCAGAAGAGTTCACAGGGAGAAATTTGTAAAAATGCAAGGACACACAAGAGCCTCCTCCCTCAAAAAACAAGCATGTTTTGGACTTTTCACATAAACTCAGCAGGCAAAATACATTCGATTTGTGTGTTCAGGTCTGCTTCAGGGCAGAGGTCTGAGAAATAATTCAATCTTTATGAGCCCTTGGAAATGAAAATGGTGGTTTTATTGGTCTCAGCAGAGTCATGATTCCATGTCCCTGAATGTCCCTGTACTCAAGGGGATTGCTATAGTCTCCCCATTCAAACAAGAACAAATTCAGTCTTTTATTTTAAACTATTTGACCCAGCAGCTCTAGGGAGGATATTGCAATTCCCCTAGAGAGTCAGAGTAACAAGAGCCCAAATCTGCTCAAGACAATGATGCCTCGATTTGAAAGGAATTTTAGTGTATGTCTGTTCCCAGTGCTTAGTAATTAAAAAAAGGAAGCTCATATTTCTATCAGCTATTTTTAATCCACATGGCACCCATCAAAGGCTTCCTCAAAAATAAATCATTTTTAAGACCAGAGAGATGGCATAAAGGGCTAAGCGTATGTTTTGCATGTTGCATGTTGCCTGGGCTTGATCTCCAGCATCTCTTTTCCCCTAATTACTGCTGGAAGGGACCGCAAGATGGAAGGAGTCCCCAAAACCAATACGTATGGCCTTCAAAAATAAAACAAATACATAATTTTAAGGAAAATAAGACCCACTGCATGCCAGAAGACTGACAACCAGCCTCATTTTCTAAATTAAGAGAAAATCAGAGGTTGACTAGTATTAAACAAGCAAAGCAAATCATTAACAGACTGCCACCTGCGACCAAGAACACACTAGTAGGCAAAAATTTGAGTATATGAATGTAAAGTTTTTCTTAGTAATCCAAGTTGCCTCTGAGGCAGATCAAAAGTCAAATCCCACCTAGGAAGTCTTCTGAGGAAAATGCTACACTCTTGCTCAAAGACCTGCATCTACAAGAACACGTGCTTTCTCAGAGTTTCTCCAAATTAAATTTTAAGATCACCTAAATAACAGTCTAGTATCTATGTATCTAGTATAAAATTTATATTCCTAAGACCTGACAATTTGGACTCTATTTCTAGAATCCCAATGTATTTTAAATAAACTGAAGCCCGAACCCATGTCCCCAAATACCTCACTACTGAGCACTCCCGCACTTCAAGGTATAGACAAGAAATCATTTCTTACCACTGCCACTCCAGGGAAGAGTTGGGATACCTGCAGTCTGAGCCACTATGGAAGATGCAATCTTATCCCCCAAAGCCCACATGGCTTGGCTAGGAGGACCTAAAATAAAAGAAGAAAACGCTCTAACACTTTGACCTCATATATTTTGTCCCCTACATAATTAATTTTGTCTTATTCCGCTTTATCAGGACGATCCATAAACTTCATTATGTGGACTACCGTATTTTGAGTTATCGCTATGCCCTTTATAGCATTTAATAAAGCAAGATCTTTACACCAATCTAACTCTGATTTTATTATCCTACATGATCTGAATCAACAAATAACAAAGTTGGTTTGTTTTTATTTTTAGTTTTGTGTTATCAAAGTACCCTAAACATCTCATGAGAAGAAAAAAAGAAAATTGGACAAATAATCAGGATATAAGAAATAAAAGGGAGCAAGCACCACCAAGACTGACCCCTGAATGTAGAGCCAAGAGTAACCTTTGAGTATAACTGAGTGTGACCCAAAATCCCAAACCCTCCAAACTAATAAATAAATAAAAGGGAGAAAAGGGTTTCTCTGAGCATTGATAATTCACTACTAATAACAATAGTAATACAAATAATAATATTATTCAGGCATATGGTTTAATGGGTGAATGCCTGCGTTGTAGCAGTGAGGCCATGAGTGTGATCCCCAGAACCACCTCATATCACCCAGTGAAATCTTGGTGGCACTGCCTTTGAGATCCAAAACCACAGTGTGTGATCTTAAGCACATTACAACCAAGTGTATGTGAGCCCTGCAAACAAAAGTGTTTGAGTACCACAACTAATTATGTAACTCCTGGCTATTACAATAACAAAAGGAAGAGGGTAAAAATTTATTTATTCAGTAATAGTAAGAAAAAGGGTCCAGTGGACATTAAACAGAAGGAAAACAGAATAGAGAATGGATTATAGACAAAACTGATGAAAGACAGAAACAAGTAAGTCAGAAAAGCTTACCCATGAAGGCGATACCATTCTTCAAAAGAAGTTCTGGAAGCTTGGGATTTTCAGAAGCATGACCCCAGCCAGCCCACACTGCCTACAGGGAAACAAAGACTGATCCTTAAAATCTATAGTTTAAGGCTCACAGATGTGACTTAGTGGTAGAGTACTGCATGGATGAGGCCCCCTTCAGAATTCGATCACCATGGGGTTGCCTGAGCACCACCAGCAGTGCTCAGGAGCTACCAAGCACTGCTCATATAGCCCAAAAAACAAAACCAAAAGTGTATACTTTATGAGCCAGGGAGTTGGGTCAAAGTTTTAGAGTGCATGCTTTGAATAGAAGAGATCCAGGTTCAAGCCCTGGCATTATGTGTTATATTATTGCTTTGACCCCATTCTTCAAAAATTTCTTATAATAAAACAATTAGCAGGGGCTGAAGTGGTAGTACAGAAGGTAAGGTGCTTGCCTTGCACACGTTCAATTCCCAACATTCCATATGGTTCCCCAAATCCAGCAGGAGTGATCCCTGAGCACAAAGCCAGGAGTAACCCCTGAGGTATGGCTGGGTGTGGCCCCAAAACAATGAGCAAAACCCCTGTAGAGAACACAACCCAGTTAAAACTAATATTAATAGGTACCTAGAATTAATATTAATAAGTACCTAGAATTGAATTTTTTAGGAAATTCAATTCAGATCATAAGGCCTTTTCTAGAAATACAGATTATTTTTTCAAACTGTGGTGCCACAGTGATAGTATAGAGGGTAGAGAGCTTGTTTTGCATGTGGCCAACCCAGTTTCAATTCCCTGCACCAGGTGGTGCTCCGAGCCCCACCAGAAGTGATCCCTCAATGCAGAGCCAGGAGTAAGACCTGATCACATCTGGGTGTAATCCAAAACAAACAACAACAGCAAAAAACATAAATTGAATTTCTTTGACCACCCAAATCTAGCTTTATATCTAGTGGTTATATTGTTATACAAATCTCAAGGCATTTTTCTCTTTGGGATTTAAGATACTTATCTTAAGCTTTCAAAATAATGTATTAGGGAAGAATAAACCAACTTCTACAGCACCCCATCTTGGGCTAAGAATAATCCACTGAGCACAGGATGTGACTCAGAGACAAACTGCAATACATGACCTGAGTTCAATGTCTGACACTGAAAAATTTTTTAAAGAAAAAAAGAATATACTATTTTTTTTATTCCTATTTCCAATAGGGCTGGAGCGATAGCACAGTGGGTAGGGTGTTTGCTTTGCACGCAGCTGACCCGGGTTCAATTCCTCCATCCCTCTCAGAGAGCCCGGCAAGCTACTGAGAGTATCCCGCCCACACGGCAGAGTCTGGAAAGCTCCCCTGGGCGTATTCTATATGTCAAAAACAGTAACAAGTCTCACAATGGAGACATTACTGGTGCCTGCTTGAGCAAATCGATGAACAATGGGAGGACAGTGCTACAGTACTATTTCCAATAGGAAACTTTTAATTAGTTTAGAGATGGAAAGGATAAACCACCTTTGTAATACCCTTCTAAACCTCCCATTTGTATGTTTGAGTCATTCTATCATTCTTTTTGACTTTATTCCATATAAAGGAGCTTATCCATTTTTAAGAAATACTAATTAAAATCTTAGATAAAACTTTTTATATAACTATGAATATTAAATTTTATACTCAGTCAAAATTTCTTCTCTGGATAACCCCTAGTACCTAACTGTTAAGAAGGCTATATTTGGAATTTGGACTGAAACACGCAACAGCATCTCTTACTTGTACTGGAATCCTTTTAGCAATATCAAGGATCAATTCCACATTTGCATAGTTGTTGTTGTTGGGTCCTCCAGGCACTGGTACATAGTGATCTGCCATCTTGATATATTCTGAAAACACAAGCAAGTCAACAGTGAACACATGCCTTATTCTCAGAACAAAGTCACACAAAACTATGCAAAGGATAAGTATCATGCCAGGCAATCACAGGACTTTGCAAATGAGGTGACCTCCAGGACCATTTAGTCAGAGGTTTAAATCACAGACTTTGATGTCCCTACCCTAACCTGTCAGAAGCTCCTATACCAAAACAGAAGCTCCTATACTCTCCCATCACTATGTGAGGTTTGTGGTGTTTATGGTCCCTGTATATAAAAGGATGAGGTGCCCGCACAGAGGACATGTATGATGATCTTAATACAGGAAAAAGTTCTACTCCTGAAACCCTTTAACTTGAACTACACTCAGAGAATCCTTTTCCTAGGGTTAGGAAGTCAGATAGACTTAACTAACTGAAATTTGCTAAATGGACTTACCTGGAATAGTAAAGATAGTTTGAGACCTTTAAAAGATAACTTCTTCACTTCCTTACATTTTTTTTGCTTTGTATTTCCTTTCAAATTCATTACCTGACATTTCAAATTCATTACCTGACATCTTTCTCTTTCTCGCTTCCTATCCTGGCAATAGCTAGGTGCACAAGGTCTTTTTTGGGGGGTGGGGTGTGCTCAGGGGTTACTCCTGGTTCTGCACACAGAGATTACTTCTGGAGGGCTTGATCAAACCTAGGCTGACCATGTGCAAGGGAAATGCCTTATGTCCTGTAATACTGTTACAGCCCTAAGCACACTGATTACATATTATCTCATCAACAATCCTTTACAAGACAAGCATCACTGATACCTAACTGATTAGAAAATACATAATAGGGCAGTTAAAGTTCACCTCCAATCATCCTATTTAAGGATATCTTTTTTCAATACGGGGTCACACCTAAGATTACTGGGTGGAAGTAGCGAGGATTCCAGGGCAACCACTCCTGAGTTGTGGGAGAGTGTGGGAAGAGATACATATAAATTACTGGGCTCAAACTCAGGGCCTCACCCATGAGAGACATTTTTCTATCACTGAGCCACATCCCCAAGCCACTTTCCTCTTAATTTTAAAAGTTTTTAAGACCGTCTTAAAAAAAAAAAAATCAACTCAAACTAAGCTTCCCAGGACATGGTTCCCCAAGAACCAAGTGACCTCCAAGTACCTCCAAGAATGACACATAAGTTGGAGTGGTATACTCCAGCAGTATACTCCTACTGGCAAGTAGGGCACTTTCCTTGCAGATGGCAGACCTGGGTTCAATCCCTGCCATCCCATATGAGTCAAGAGCACAGAGCTAGGAGTAAGCCCTGAGTACCACTGGAAGTGGCTCAAAAATAAGAAAATGACTCCCAAACATAGAACTAAGACCAAACATCACCAGGAGTGACCCCAAAACAAAACAATGAAAATATTGTATTTGATTATAAAAAGGAAATAACATGCTAATTATTAAATGTACTATATGGCAGGATATCATAATTTTATAGTGAACCATTCATGATCCATACCTCTGAGAAAATAAATTAATGCTAACCAATTTAATAATACACTGTGGATAAACTCTCCCTTCTTCACATATACTAGATCTCATCTTATACTTTTACCAAGTCACCAGCAAGTTTCCAGAAAACTACTGTCACAGCTTCATATATCTGCATACACTTGCTCTTCCTGCTTAGAACAACAAGCTTTTCTTTCCCTAAGTGTTTAACTAAATCTTACTCATTCTTGGTTAGGAATAACCTCTTGCAGAAAGTTTTGTTATCCTTGCCCCCAAGAGGCAACAGAGCTAAGATGTTCTATTTAGGGGGTCAGAGGAAAAATACAGCAGGTAGGACATTATCCTTGCATGCAGTCGACTGGGGTTTGATCCCCAGCATCTCATATGGTTCCCCAAGCACCATCAGGAGTAATTCCTGAGTCCAGAGCCAGAAGTAACTTCTGAATATCGAGGTGTTCAGAATATCACGGTGTTCAGCACCTCCCCTCACCCCGCAAAAAAAAAAAAAAAAGAGATGTCCTATCTAAGGAATCAGAGAGATCATACAGGAGAAACTGGCCTTGCATGCAGGTGACCCTCGCTTGATTCTTAGTACATTATATGGTCTCCCAAGCACTCCCAGGAGTAACCCCCAGACCACTGAGCCAAGAATAAGCACCTGCTGGAGTGGCCCAATCCCCACCCCCCAAATAATAAAGAAGTCCGAAGTCCTACCTCTGTTTTCTCACTCTACCTTTTCATGTGTTACAAGAGCACTTAACTCTTGAAATTATTTGCTTCCTAGAACAGGATATCATACTCACCTGTGGGTCTCCAGGTTCACTGAATAAATGAATAAAAGCACCTGGAAGAAATGGATAGGGAAGCCAAAGAGACAGTACAGAGATTGGGTGCTTGCCTTGCACTTGGCCAATCTGGGTTTAATTCCAAGTATGGTCCCTTGAGCCTGCCAGGAGTGATTCCTGAACACAGAACCATAAATAAGCTCTGATCACAGATTTCTCGGGCCACGTCCCCCCAACTCCCAACCTAGAGACACATAGAGATGGAGGGAGGAAGAAAGGGAGAGGGGAGGAGGGGGAGAGAGAGTGGGAGAGGGAGAGAAAGAGAAAGAGAAAGAGAGAGAGAGAGAGAAAATATATAGGAATAAAAAAGAAATTGGGTGAGGTAGTTTACATTCATTATAGAAATTTTATCTTCACATTGTCCTACACAGGATATGATTTATTATTCTTTTATAGATTTTAAAAAAGCAAGACTCAGTTGGGTGTGGCCCCAAAGCAAACAAATAAACAAACAACAACACAGAGCATCTAGGAGCCCTGAGTTCAATCCCCAGTACCAAATGCTCTCCTGAGAATTTACTCAGGCTTACCCCTGGCTCTACTCAGGGATCATTCCTGGCAGTGCTCAAAGTTATAGTTACGGAGTGCTGGGGACTGAATCAGAGTCTAATGTGTGCAAGGCAAGTGCTTTATCCACTGTACTAGCTCTCCAGTTCCTTTATTGATAGCTAACAGTTATAGCAGTGTTTCCCAATCAGGGACCATGCACTGTCTGTAGCACTGTCATCCCGTTTGTTCATCGATTTGCCCTTTTGATGCTAATAACTTACCTGCATTGGCTTTAAGGTCTTCAGGTGTTACCATGACAACAAATCGAATTGCACGTTCGTTTCTAAACATTTCATAAGACCATCGACGGATAGACCGCATGCATTTCACTGCTGCTATGCCATTGTTGGCAATAAGAACCTGAAATTGAGGGAAGGGAATTGGAGCAGAAAGCAGAGAAGACAATGATGAAGGGGAAAAAAGATGACTTCAGGTCTTTCTCTGAAAACTGTCCAATTTTCAAACAGGAATTTGTGTTGCTGGTTTAGGGAGTTAGGGACCAGCATGACAAAGATTATTTTTTAAGAAAACTAACATCTGCCAGCTAAAACTTACCTCTTTTTAACTTCACCTCCTTTTTTGTTTTGTTTTGCTTTGGGGCCACACCCAGCTGTGCTCAGGGCTTACTTCTGGCTCTGTGCTCAGGGTCTACTGGTGGGCTCAGGGGAACAAATGGGATGTTGGGGATTGAACCCAGGCAAGGCAAACACCCTAACTACTGTACTACTGCTCTAGCCTCTCTTTTTCTTTTGGGGAAGAGACCTCCAAGAATGGGACCTGGGAACCACTTCCAGACATTTGGGCTTGATGATTTAATGCTAGGGTCAAAAGATATGGTGATACCGAAGCCTTGAGATTCTGGGTGACCACCCAGTGATGCTTGTGGAGGTCACATGAGACAAGGTTTGCACTTGACCCCAGCACATGACAGGTATGCACCCCTGATCACTGAGCTACTTCCTGACTCCCTTCATCTGTCCTGAAATTCTGTGAACTTGTGAACTATTCTACCATACTTATTACTAAGGAACAATAAGGACAAATTTCACAACGATGATGCACATCAGAAATGAGGGAAAGCTATGTCATATGCTGTCAAACACTATTCCCTACTATAGTGAAACAAAGCACAGTGTCTAGATACGTATACAGACTCTGGCACCTACCATGACCTGTCTACAAAATGCTGAAGCTCAAATCCCTTAAAATTATAAAGAAAGCATTTGCTACATGGAGATCTAAGTTTGATCCCCAATTCCCTAGTCCTCTAAGTACCATAAAGAGCCATCCCTGAACAACATGCTGGAAATAACCTTAGAGCATTGCCTGGGTGGCACCAAAAAAAAAAAAAAAAAAAAAAAAAAAAAAAACCCTTCCCACAAAGTAAAAACCTGGTTCAGAAAAACCTGCCTTAGAAAGAATGGTCACAAGAAAAGTAAAAAACCAATAATCCTGAGACTTCTCTGCAAACAAACATTTCATCTCCTTATCTGTCTTTCAATCATCCCCCCAAGATAGCACAGGCTACCTGGCATATGATCCATCTTTTTTGTTAGACTAACAGAACACTACTGAAGCAATACATTTAGAAGTGAGAATGCAGGACCCCATTCTTAAATCTTTTAACCACTCCAAACTATTTCAACCAAGTCATCTTCTCAGCTTGGTCACGGTTTAGCCAAAAGTGACACAGAATTACTCAAAACATTTCAAAACACCTGTAGTAATCTCTTTAAGTATTTCATGTGGTAAATTTCCTCTGAACATCCAGAGCAGCTGGTGGAAGCCGGTAAGTCACTACTGTCTACCTGCGTAAGCCTTCTGTTCTGAAACTCTCTCTACTGCTATATTTCTCAATCCAATGCTCTGGTTTATTATCTCCCAACCAGCCCCACAGCCAAACAGTTTTTCATACACTCTGCTATCAGTGCAGCCCCACCTTGTAAACTACAAGAACTTTCAAAAGATTTTTATAAGTTTTTCTTTGTCTTCATAATTAGCCGGGTCTACTTTAAGAAGATAAAATTAATTAAATGGATTCCAGGCAAACAGCAAACGACAAGGCAAAAATCTTCAAGAAACTAGATATCAATTTTAAGCAAATTTAGATAAATAGGCATTAATCTCATGTACTTTTGGTTGGTTTGATATAGCACAGCGGTAGGGCGTTTGCCTTGCACACAGCCAACATGGCCGACCCGAGTTCGATTCCTCCGCCCCTCTCGGAGAGCCCAGCAAGCTACCGAGAGTATCTCGCCCGCACGGCAGAGCCTGGCAAGCTCCCCGTGACGTATTCGATATGCCAGACACAGTAACAACAAAGTCTCCAATGGAGACGTTACTGGGCCTGCTCGAGCAAATCGATGATCAACGGGAGGGCCTTTACTTTACTTTACTTTTACTTTTGAAAAAAAACAATGCAGCAAGTTATCACTTACCTTTTCAATCACTTTATTTCCTCCAAAACGGGTAACAAATTCTGCTGGAGAAGCTACAGTGAAATCTCTTTGTGAGTCTATTTTCTTTCGGTCTCGACCTTGTTTTACTAGATGCAAGCCAGACATGCTGGACCTATAAAAACAAACAAAAAAAAACATGAAAGTCTACCTTTTCCTTTTGTTCTTTCAATGCTATGAAGTGATCACTCTTGCCTGTAAGTGTGAATGAATTATCTCAGTTAGCATCCCTTTCTTTTGTCCTTTTGGCAGGGATTGCAGAGGGCAAGGTAGTACTCAGGAGGTCCACAGTTCAATACAAGGGCACAGGATGTAGTGGTGGCAGGTCTTATTTGGGCCACTGCATGCTTGCATCTTAACCCCTGTGCTATCTGCCCCTCTTTTTTTTGACATTTTATTTTCTAAAATCTAAGTAACCAATACTTACCAATTAAATGCCCTTTATAATACTTTTCACAGTTTTTCTTTCTTTGACTCAACTCTGACTGAAGACCATCTCCCGCCCCCAGCTCAGCTCTGGAAATGTGTGCTGGGAATTAAATGAGTTAATGAATATAAAGAAGATTTTTTTATATGTGTCTTAACAGACACCTATTTTAATCCATTTTCTTCTTTTCTACTTCCTGCCTGCTAACCTTGACAATGCAGTAATTTGTCTTTTCAAATTAAAAAGAATAAAAAATTTCCCACAAAGTAAAAACCTGGTTCAGACAGATCTAAATAACTGATTCTAGGGCCAGAATGATAGTACAGATAGGGTACTAGCCTTGCACTTGGCTGTGGCCAACCCAAATTCAATCCCTGGCATCCCATATGGTGCCCCAAGCACTGTCAGGAGTGATCCCTGAGCACCACCAAGTGTGACACGAAACCCAAAGTAAATAAATAATATATTATTACACCTAACTTTCAGGGCTGACAGACTGCCAAGGTTCTAGGCAACAAAAAAAAGAAATTAAATTTCTCAGAGTAAAATTCATATCAAAGCTAAGAAAAACGTTACATGCAGGGAAAATTCTGGATCCATTTTACTCATGAATGAAAAATTGCTAACCAAAGTAATCTAAATAGTAGAATATCAAAGCAAGAATAGGAAACTTATTTCTCCAAAAAGTTATCCCAGGCCAGAGCAATAGTACAGCAGGTAGGGCATTTGCCTTGCATGCAGCTGATTCAACCCTGGCATCCTATATGGTTCCAAAACTAATTTCTGAGTGCAGAGCAGAGGGTAAACATGAGCATGTCCAGGAGAAGCCCCCAAAATAAAAATAAATAACTTCTAAAAGTCAGCCCATGACCAAATCGGGTTTGCCCCAGGTACTCACAGAAAGTTGTTTCAAAATGGGAGATGTGTGCTACAAGTAGACTAAGGAGCAAACATGATGGCCTTTCAGTATCTGTATTGCAAACCGTGATGCCCAAAAGCAGAGAGTAAGAACGCAAGTGCCTGCCACAGAGGCAGGGGGTGGGATGGGGTGGGGGGTGGCAGGAGGGATACTTGGAACATCAGTGGTGGAAAATGTGCGCTGGTGGAGGGATAGGGAGTTGATCATTGTATGACTGAAACTGAATCATGAAAGCTTTGTAACTGTATCTCACAGTGATTCAATTAAAAAAAATTAAATAAAAAATAAAATACATAAATATGAAACTATGTCAGATTTCCTTGGAAGTACAAAAAAAGATAAATTAGAGGCATTAACATTACAAGAAAAAAAAGAAAAAAGATTACAAGGAAAAAAACTATCTAGAAGTGATATGATCATTTATATTTAAAAAGGGGTCTGCAGATAAAGTATGAGAAATAGGAAATCATCAAGTATTTACATGTGACAAGTCCAAAAATATTATATATAAATTATAAAATAAAAATTTTAGGTATAGGTTTTTATTTCTACATGGGGAGGAGGAGGCTTGCCAAGGAATCAAACCTCACACATGCAAAGTCAGTTCTAGCAATGGGCTATAGTGCCTGCCACTCAACATGGTTTTTTTACTAAATAACAAAATAACACACATTGCCACACTAGCCTCATAGGGACTATTACATAATTTTATATGCCCGAAGTTAAAAAAAAAATCACTTCACACAGAGATCAGTTTTCAGTGATTTAGATGTGGGGGTGGGGGGAGTGGAGGGGTTTGAAGAGGTAGTTAATATAAACCCAGAATTAATAGGAACCACACGTGTAGGAAAGAAAAGTCTATTTTTATCTTTGCAGGTAGGAGGAGAAGTTGGTGGCTGGACTATGCAGTGCCAGACTTGGAACCGAGGGCTTCCATATGTAGAGCATGTACTCCAGTCTTCTAAGCCTACTGCTGGAGCTCCAAAGTCTGACTGAAAAAAATTAAGGAGGGAACGGGTTGTAGATATTTAGTATACTGGGAACCTTCTAAGATGCAGAGCCAGGTGTAAGACCTGAGCACCACTGGGTGTGACCCAAAAACAAAAGAAAACTTAAGAGGGGAAGGTCCTGAGATTTAATCAGTGATTTATGGGGCCAGAGCAAGAATACAGTGGGTAGGGAGCTTGGCTTTGCACATAACTAACCTCGATTTGATCCCTAACACCTCCATTTGCTCCCCTGAGTACTACCAGGAGGGATCCCTGAGCACAGAGTCAAAAGTAAGCCCTGAGCACCTCCAGGTGTGGCCCCAAAACTAAAACAAAATGGATACTCAAAATATCATTTAAAATCTAAGTAAGAGTAGCACCAACAGGCCAAAGACAACACAATAGGAAAACTGATAAAACATAACTGAGTCTGTCTGTGGGGGTGGAAGGTGTCTAAAAGGAAAAAGTGTTGAGGTCCTTGGGAAGGAGAAATGGGCACACTGTGAGAGTTGTGGTGTTGGAAAGATGGGCACAGGAAACCGTAATTAACAGTATTATAAATCACAGAACTTCAATCAGTAAAAAAAAAAAAAGTGAAAAAATAATCTAAAGAAGAAGGAGGAGGGGAGGATCTATACTGGGCCAGGGAAAGAGTTCAAAGGGCTGGGATATATGCTTGGCATGCAGGATAGCCACGATTCTATCCTCAGCACAGTAGGATCCTCTAAACACTGTCAGGAACAACCCCTGAGCAAGTACCCAACCAGGAGTCAGCCCTACGCATGGCCGGGAATGGCCCCCAAACAAAACAAACTTTTGGATAAGAACCTTATCCAAAAGTGAGGCACCACATTAATATCCAGACATAAACTAGATCTCAAAATCTTCACCTCTTGCCTACCTTTTATGAGGAAGATGTGAGAATGCTGGCTTCCAAACGAGTGGAGTAACCCAAGAAAAAGACGAGATGCAAAAGAGGACCCAAATCAGAAAAACGAAATTCCCAAAATGACTGTCCAAAATTAAGCTGCTTGCAGGAGGAATACCATGCCTCCTGGAGGGGGCGTGGGGGCACGGGGAGAAATGCAACTAAAGGATTGCAAACCACACCAGCACCATGGCAGAGTGTGCAACCACAACCTCATGTGACACCTTCAACAAGCACTATTGCCAAGGGGTGTGACCACATTCACCCCTATAACATCAACAATGGAGGGAGGGGGAATTAAAAAAGGAAAAAAAAATCTGCTCTATTTCCAAACAAAACTTTATGCATTATTATGAAGAGAGGTATAAATACATGTTCGTTTTTCATATATGTAAACTTTGTTTTCTACACATAAATATAAATAAAACATGCTAATCGCATACAATATGGTCATATAAAAGTCATATAAGTCGTTTACCATATATATATTTATCATGTATTTGAGTATATAGTACATATTGATTGCTTTTTACATATTTGATTCTCAGTAGAGGTTTCACTTGATTGTCTCCCCAAAGGGTAGAAGAGTTCAAGTGAAAAGAAAAAAGGGGGGGGGAAGTTACTGTTGTAAAAGACAATTTTTTAAAAATTAAATCACCATGAGATACACAACTACAAAGTTGTTCATGATTAGGTTTCGGTCATACAATGTTGCAACACCCGTTCTACACCAGCATACATTTCCCACCACCAGTGTCCCCAGTTTCCTTTCCCCCCACCCCAGTTTTCCTCTACAGCAGGCATGTAAAAGACAAATTCTGACAACGTAGATGGCGGGTGGGGGTAGTTCTTTTCTATTGTTTATTTTTTTAACCAAGCACTGTAGCACTGTCCTCCCATTGTTCATGGATTTGCTCAAGCAGGCATCAATAACGTCTCCATTTTGAGACTTGTTGTTACTGTGTTTGGTATATCGAATATGCCATGGGGAGCTTGCCAGGCTCTGCCGTGTGGGCGGGATACTCTCAGTAGCTTGTTCGGCTCTCTGGGAGGGACAGAGGACTCGAACCCGGGTCGACCACGTGCAAGGCAAACGCCCTACGCTCTGTGCTATCACTCCAGTCCTTTTAATCAAGATCCAGTTCAATTTTCAACTTTTTGAATATTTTGTTTGCTTGCTTTTTCAAAATAAAACTCCAGACTGGGGGTGGGGGTGGGGGTGGGGGAGAATCAGAGGATAACACAGGAAATTTAATGACTACCATCAAGCAAATCACTCAAGTTTAAATCAGTTCTCTGTTGGAGAGGTTTTTAAACCCACTAAAGGATTTAAAAAGCTCCTCAGTCTTATCTTGGGGTGAGAGAACTCTGCACCCCCTTCAACTCTAGTCTGGCCACCCAAAGTCACAAACTAGACAATGGAAGCAGGTACTATTTCTGTCCCCAGAGACATATCCCAAAAAAATTCTCTGCAAAACTTTCTTCAACTGTAGTGAAAAGAGAGCCTCTAGCCTCATGTTGAAGGGAGTTTTGGAAAACAAAAAACAAAAACAGCCAAATTCACAGTTAACTGGCACAAGCTGAGTGAGATCCCTTAACACAAAAGGGTGTTTGTTTTTAACTTAGCTATAAAATCACACGAGAGGCTGACCTATCTTCAGTTTGAGTTCTGAACTTCAGAATTCTGATATCTAAAAGCTCAGAGCAAAAACGATGGTTTTTATTCATTTCCTTTTGAAAATGGCGGCAGAGATAAAAAAAGAAAATCATCACCAAAAAAAAAGTGTCCATTAGTATCAGGTTCTCCATTGCCCGAATACAGCAGCCTGAAACTTACCTTTGAAGCATGTAA